TCTCCCCCTCTTTCTCTCTCTCTCTCTCTCTCTCTCTCTCTCTCTCTCTCTCTCTCTCTCTCTCTCTCTCTCTCTCTCTCTCTCTTTCATATGTATATTATATCTTTCTTTCTTTCTCTTTGTATATTCTCTGTACTCAATCCATCATAATACTTTTTTCCATACTATAACTGTATATTCATGTAATCTTCTAATAATCTTCAGCCTGTTTCAATCAAATTTCACTTTAAACCTTCCTCTTCTCTACCTCTTTATTCAAAGTTTTCATGAATACCAGCTTTTAGAGCAGTTTAGATGATGTTCTTCGCAATGAATATCTTCTCATATCTTTCTCATTCTCATTTCCGAACTTCAATGTCAACTTACTCGTTGTTTCGCCTTTTTTTTTGTGCAAAAAAAAGCGACGTCAAGTCACTTCGTTGCATTTGAGAGCATTTTGTAATACATTTGTTAATACAGCTTATCATTTTCATTCATAGAATACTCATTGAGCTTCGAAGCTGATTGAGATTATGCAGTTTTCTCTGTTCGTCTTCGTTCCAATTCTTATTTATGCTGCTGATAATCCGTTACAAGAGGTAGTTCTCCTTACTTTACATTTTCATACAGAAATTCAACAAATATTTGAAATTTTCCAATAGAATCATCCAATAACAGATAGAAGAGATAAAGAATGAAAGAAAAATGGGAAATAGATGGAGAAAGTAAGAGGCAAAAACGGAGAGACAGCTAGAACGAGAACTAGAGAATGAGAGAGGGTAAAGGAGAACTAGTTTCAACAAGAGCTCTCCACAGTCAGAAATTTACTCAATTAACTCAATTTTCAATGAAATGCCGGAGAATAAACTGAAAGAAACTGTAAAACTTATGTGAATTTCGAGAGAAAACACTTTTTCTTGAAATAGTTGAAGTGAGAGCTTTTCAGGATGGCTACTGCATGGATTACTTAAGTTGTATGGAAAAGCTCGAGATCAAGCAGAGGGAATGCTTGGAACTAGAACAAACTTTAAAGTGAGTAATGTAGATGATGACTATACTCATATTCATATTTCAGACATCGTTCAACAGACTCATGTTCTTCCCGTAAATGGCAATTGAAAACTCAATTAAACGGCTTACACTTGAGAAGAACCGAATTAGCACGTGATTGTCTTCAATCAAACTTAGTTGATGCAGTCTTATCGGAGACAACTCTAACATCGGAGATGGTTTAGTTTATGCGAATAATTGAATAATTTGATTACATTTACAGCAAACAACATGTTCCTCCCTTCATAAGAAGTTTGCTTTTGCTCCTAAAGTATCTTCGAACTCAACCGTATTACGTCGTAAACGGTCTGTCAAGCCTTTGAAGCGGAATAAACGGGAAAATTCTAAAAAACCGACAAAGATAGCTGATTGTCGAGCTTCCACTCGATCATGGCACAAGCATTGTTCAGCTTTAGCCCATTGTTGTCCTTTGACGGAGGAGTCTGTTTATCGTTATTGTTCTGATTTGCAATTTGCATATTTCAGTTGCCAAGTCTCAACAAAGGAAATAATGGAGCAGATATTCATAGATCGACGCAAGTTACGTGAGCTGAAAGAAGAATGTGATGATGAAGATATGAAAAAGAAAAAAAAATAATTTTGCAATAGGAAGCTTAAGGTATAAGCTTAACGATGACAGACTTACATGCAGACGGGTTTTGTCTGAATATTTAATTGTCTGTAGTCCTTTTTAGCCATTCTTTCCTTAATAATCACATCTCATTCGTTCACTTAATTACTTCAATATATACTGAATGACGTCATAGATAAAATAATTTGAAAGAAATTGTATTCGAATAAATGAAATTGTTTGATTTGAGAGATCGTTCTTGACTGTTTAATATTCAATGCTCACCTATGCACAACCGTTCCATCTGCTCATAGAATGAGAATGAGCTAGTCGCATTCATAATTCACGTAATCCACGCATCACTGCTAATACCAAGACAGTTATTTCTCATTCCTTCAACATTCAATCATATCAGATTGTATAAGAAGTTAATGAAATGTTTCCGACCAATTAACTGTCAGTTAAAACACATATTGACCTTACAGAATCTTTTAAAACAAAAGTTTAATCGTTTAGATGCATGATAGGCTTAAGCATACTATAGGAAGTTCAAATTATTTACTTTTGTTCTGTCAAAACTTAAATTTCATCCTTCTTATATCATTGACAAAAAAAAGGCGAAGAATGAAGTAGAAAGAAGAATTTGATTGATCAGTTCGAAATAATTGGCAGCTAATGGCGGTGATTCGAGTTGATTGTGAACAAGCTCAGGTTAGTGAAAGCATTATGCTTCATCCATCCATTCACGTATCATGAAAATGGGTTGTAAGTAGATATTTACCTAGTTTTTTCGTTATATTTTGGTCAATCCTCTTTTTGACAATACAAACCAACTTTCCTTAATCCCACAGGCTTTATATTTTTGAATTGTCCAGTTAGTTATCCTTTACTTTCGTTTGCCTCTGGCAATCTCATTCATTTGTCAAATAAATCTAAAAGCGAACTGTTTATGAGACTGTTTGGACATCGCAATTTCCAATATGAACCTGTAAGTTTCGTTTTATCTTTTAATGTTCTTAAAAATTGTTTTAAATGAAAAAAATATGTATTATTTGTCAAAGAGTTACTTGAATACGGTAGATGGGCTCTTGAAATACTCATATGAGTTTCCTGTTTCCTCTTCATATTTCATAGAACTTTGTTATATACCTTGCAAGAGACAAACAGATTTAATATTCAAAGAGAATTTATGTTCTCAGCAATGAGGACAATGCGTGAGAACGTGGGAGAGAGTTAAGTGTGCCCAAAATGAACTTCCAAGGTTAGATTGAACTTAACAGCTTAACATGCTTAACAATGGCTATCCCACAAATGAAGTAAAGAGCGTTGTTATGATGTTGAGCGTGTAATGTCATATGGATCTATGGTAATCTATTGATTACATTCTGTTGATTTTCAAAATCATATCCTGCAGTAGTCATCAGATGACGTGATGGTTGCTTGTCATCCGTTCAGCTTCGAAAACCTGAATTTTCACTATGAGAAAATAAAAATTAAAGTCAACAATCGTATTATTGACAAGAAAAATTCGAATAAAAAACTACAAAAGTGTAAGTATATATGAAGATGTCCCTCTATCAATTGATCTCAAAATGAAAACATTCCAAGAGAGAGAGAGGTAAAATCATTTTATTCCTTTTTCTTTCTTTTGGAAGAAAAATACTTTTCAATCGCTCGTACAGTTTTGAATTTATCTGGAATTTTTCAATATTTTGATGTTTTGATTGTTTTGCGATTTTAACACGTTCTGATCATCTGAAGGCAAACAGACGGATGACACAGCAATAGTTGAAGAATCTGGACACGTCAGCGGTATGAGCTTTCGGCAGGCATCGAAAAACCTTAGAAAGATCAAATTTACAAACAATACGCCTCGAGGCTTGTTGAAGAGTCAAAAAGACGTGACGTCAACTGTCAGAACTTCATATAAAAGAGCGGAAACATATTCCATTCATCGTTTCATGAATCTGATTCGATTAACTCACTACCACACTCTTACTGACTTCTTATTCCGACAGTTTCAAGTTGTTGTTATGTCCTTTTGTGCAATTTTTTACTCCAACTTTGACCTTGACTTGCTCGATTTTCTTGATTTTATATGATGAATTCAATTATATTCTGGTTGTCCCTTACTTGGACAATCCTCTTCCCTCTCATTCAAAAACTTCATTTGATTGTTCGGTCTTCACATCATCGTCATGCGTTTTCAACACTCCAATGACAATGATTTTCGTTTTTTTTCTCCTTTTTCGTCAACACCGGTCGTCCTCTGTTTCTCCGTTTTTCAACAACGAAGGTAGAGCTGACTTGAGATACACTCGTTGTGGAATATTTTGAAGTCCAAATAAGTTTTTTATGGTTCTTTCTAAGCTTGAAATATCGTCTTTTACTCTCTATATCCATATCAAGAGATTAGAAGGATTACGGTAGATATTAAAATTTCATTAAAAGAGGATACTGTAAAGCTTATGTTACGAAGTTTTCAACTAGTTTTTATGAAAAATCACCTAGAGACTGGGCTGATCCGCAGGTTTTCGAACTCCACTTCTACCACATTTTTCATTTTACTATGAATTTTTCTTTTTCGAGAAAATAATAATTACATTTACAGTTTTGTTGTTGATCATCATCACACTCTCGATGGTTGCCGGTTTTTTTTCCATCTTCTTTGATCATTTTTTTCGTATTCTCCTCCATTCAAACTGTCATATGAAGCTAGCTGTCTATCCGGTATGAAGAGAAAAGAAGTTTTGTAAATAAAACAAAAAAAATCTCTTTTTTACGGCACATGAAGCTTGACTGCATCTGATTATAAAGTAAATGCTGGAACACCTAGGAACAGTCTGTATTCTGAGCTAATTCCATTTCTTCGACTAACCTGAAGCTTAAAATCATTTTTGGTTTCCATTACATAGTGAGCGGTGCATCATATGTTCTTCTCATCCGAATTCCGATCAAACCATCCAATATTTTTACCGAAACCATTTGTCATCTATAAATCAAATTAATTAAATCACTCGAAGAATGTTTGACATTTTGATGTTTTTGTACGGTCAGATGAAATTCCAACCAAATTTAGCTGAACCTATTTGAGTCATAGACTGTAAGCTTCCACTTGTGCTTTTCAGCTTGTTCTTCTTCAGCAACAACCGGTCATTATTCTATTCTTTGAATTGAATGTTGAAGTCTCGAACAGACAGCTCAAAGCCGACAGAAGCTCAAAGACAGAAAAGAACAAGGCGAAGACCAGAAAATGAGAGAGTGAATGAAAGAAAAAGAAAGAGAGAGAATTATAGACATGTGAGGTGAAAGATGAAGCAAGGAATGACCGAGGTTAAATTTTGGTCAACTGACTACCTCCTCGCACAGTCTTTTTCACACTTTTGTGATTTTTTAGAAAAATGAATTTCTCTTTGTCTTTTTTTTGTTGTTTTCGAACCTCCACGTCAGAGCGGGTTGACGGTTCCAAGACGATGCGCGAAGGGCTGTCATGACTTCAAACGTTCTTCAGCTTCATACGATCTGTTTTATTCTTCATTTCACACTTCATGATTCATTCCTACACACTTGATGAATGTCCGACTGTTGCAAATAGCCTATCGCCTATCCAAAACCTCTCTCATCTAACTACAGCTTGTAATCTAAATATAAGATACATTGTCTTGTATACTTCATTCATCTCATGGTTTCATTGTAGAAACACTCAGCAAGACTATCATTTCCAATTTTGCTGCTTTCGCTGTGTTTCAAAAAAAACTGTTTCTCATCTGCTTTTTTGGTCCAATCAAAGAGAACTTGTTTGAAATTTGTGTGTAAATCCGCAGTTACGGTCTGATTAACTCATATGTTGGATCTGCTTAATCTCAACTTCATGTAGTTCTTTGTACTTCCATGGCTTGTTTTTGAACAAAAAATGATATTTTTCTGTTTTTCTCGTCGGAAAGTTTATAAAGATGAACATGCAGGTCTTGACCTTCTCCAGTTAATTCAAACAATCTCTTGAGCAGCGTTTTTGAAACCATGTTTGGTCAGAGCGATGAAGCAATCTGGTTTCTATCCAACAACCATAGGTTGCTGGGAATAGAACATTGTCTTTGATATTTCTTAACCGACCCGACCTTCAGTTTTCTCTCTGTATACTCTGTATTCTTTTTTTGTCGTATTGGCCCTCTAATCTTTGAATTTTGAGATTCTCTTAGATTTCGTACAAGTATTCTCAAAGAGCTGTGATCGCTTGAGTTTGATGTAATGAATGGCTTGTAATGTTTATTACATGATAGCGATTCTCTACCAAAAATACGAAAGTGTTTGGAACCAATGTGTACGAACACAAGAAGAGGGAGAGAGAGAGAGAGAGAGAGAGAAAGAGGAGAATGTGAAGAAAACAGAAAAGAGTAGAACGAGAGTAAAACTTTTTTAATTCGAAAAGTTAATTCGTGATGTATGACGCAGAATTCTTGAACAACTCTCCAAACAGGAGCGGTTGAAAAATACCATAAATGGGATTCCGTTGTACAAAATTCCCTTGTTATTGTAGTTCATGTGGAGGATCGTAGCTCAACAGACAGTCAGCTAGACCCTGAGGCGAAAATCCGGTTCTAGTCAGAATAACTATTAGCATTATAAGAGAATGAATAGAAGAGATAAAGAGGGAGAAGGATACAGAATGAAAGAGAGGGAAGGCAGAATAACTAGACAGTTAGAGTAAAAGTTCCATAAATGGAATATAAGAGAGATGTTGTCAACTGGAAATGAACTGTAATAACTTTTATTTGAAATGTTTTTTTCATTTCTCAGTTTTATTGCTTGCTTCTCTCATCTAAGTTTCTTTGGTGAAATAATTGTATTATTATTTAACTATATGATATAGTTTGACCAAACTATCCATTTGTAGTTGAAGGCTCTTCAGATGTAGTGGGCGAGAACAAGAAGTGCACAAATAGAAGTATCACAATCACATCAACGATACTTTTACCGATTGAACTCTTTTCCCTTCATACTCAGAGCAGAAACTGAAGAAGAAACGAATCTTCTTCATTGCACAAGAACATTCTTCTCCATAATTTGTTTAAGAGTCTTCAAATATCAGTTTGTAAGCATGATTTTGATAGTCTTCGCATGCTTCACCGTCATCGATTTCCCTGATTTAATTTCATATTTTCCAACTTGTAAATCGGATAAAGACAACTGTATAATCTACTATTTCTTTCGTGCAGAGAAAAGCTTCTTAGAAGAAAAAAATATTTCAATTTGTGTCATTCTTTCACGATTTGGCCCTCTATTCCTCAAACATCATGAGGGGGTCAGGTCTTCCGGTTTCATTCTTCTCTGAAATACAAAGTATAAATATGAATCGTTTACCATGCAATTTGAATTTTTTTCATCTTCTCCTTCTGTTTTCTATAAAGTTATTATTAAAGGTTCATCAACCAAGAATGAAAGTCTTCACAGTCGGTCTCGGTGACAAAGATGGAACGAAGAAGGCAGATCCAGTCAAATCCAGTGAAAGCACGGCTGAGATGACAAAGGTAACACTTTACTCCTCACTTAGCCAATAAAGAAATTCTTCAGATTCCTATTGACAGTAATACATCTTCTCCTTCTATATCACCCGCTCCAATAATTATCTCTCGCTCACCCCCAGCACGTAAAGCTATGATGAGAAGCTGTGGAAGTAAGACATATATACCTCGATTAGTTTAATCAGAGCTTTCTGTTTTTCAAGTTCTCTCATGGTGCATTGGAGCTTTCTTCATCGTTCTACTCTGCCTCACAATATCAGAGATCTCATATAATCGTCAACGAGATCAAGCTTATCTTCGATTAAAATGGTATGAAATCCCACATGTTGCCATAATCAACAAGTATGAACAGGGCCGAACTTCGGCAACGAATGCTTGGATATGAACTTCTCTCCCAAGTTCAGCAACAGCAACAACAAAAGTCTCAGAACCAACCTCTCGATGAAAGATTGGCTTTCAGCAATCGACCAACGTTCGCTCATGTCTCACAGAATTTGCATTAAAATTCTTTTTTTTAGACATCAAGCTCTTCCTCTGTTAGAGACACCAACTATATCGAACAATGTGGATAATGAAGTTACGAACGATATTAAGAAATCTGTAAGTTCTGAAGCTTGAATATCATACTAGTTTTGAAACACAAGATAGGCTCGTACAACGTTGGAACAAAGAATTAAACTTGAAAAAGAAAATTCGTTTTCATCTGTTCTATTCCCATTCTTAACAACATTTCTGAAAAAAAATTTCGTCCTAAAAACAACTTGATTTCGTATTAAATGTCTTAAGAGCGAAATTAGAATAATCCTTTAATTTTTCTCAAAGACTCTCAGAAAACAGAATTAACTTTCATTTTGAGCCGATAGAAAGCAGAGACCGGTTGAACTCACCTACTTTTGCATTAATCAGAGAATTAACTTCCTCTTATTTTCAGGAAGAAGACATGTCTACCGCTGAAGGAGATGCTCGATTTGTTTTCTTAAGAAATATTTTGGAAAAAATGAGAAAGAAAGCTTCTGAAATGGGTTTAAACGGAGATATGCAAGTTCATGTGATTGAAGTTAAGCCAATTCAACCTGAAAACGAACGCGATGGAATGGTAAGCTTTTCAAGATTTTTGATTTAAGACTCTGAAGTCTGCGAATAACAAAATACATCTTTAACTATTATGGCAATTTGTTCGGAAGTAAAAGAAAAATTTCAGTCACAAAGAGCTTGGGAAGATGGGTTTGGAGAAGTAGCTGTTCCCAAACAACACTTTGGGCCCTTCCCTCATGACGAAGACTACGTCGAATACGATAGGTGTGTTTCCGAACTTTCTAATACTAAAAACTTTCAAACATTCTTCTTCTAACTAACTTTTCTATAGTTTCCGTCCACCTTTCATTCCACCTCAACCATTTATGATGGGCTTCCCTCCTCAATTCGACCGATGGAGTCATCCACGGTGAGCTAACACTTCTTACAGTTAACATTTCCTCAACTGTCTTCTTTAATTATTTTAATTACATCCTTTTCATTCAGAGCTCCTAAGTGGAATCAACCACAATGGGATCGTCGTCCACAAGTTCCAGAATTTGAAGTATGTGAACATATTCACGAAAATTCCCTCTAACAAATGTTTTCAGGAAAACTATCAAGACAACTTCCTCTTCAATGACAATTTCGAAAGACCAAATGGAGTACTTTATCAATAGCAGTACAAATTTTAAAAACTTCGTTTCAGGAAGCTCCCTTCATGCCAGACAACCGTAGATGGCCAATGGGAAACCAGTGGGCAGAACCTAACCCCATGATCAACTTCGTAAGAATATGCCAAAATAAAATTACTAATAAAACAGCTTCAGCCACAAATGCCAACCATCGGACGTCAAAACCAGTTTCCATTCCCTGTTCAGAATCAGGTAACCATTTTCATTCAAAAAATATAAAAAAAACTGCTATATCTGAAGGTTCCCATCATTGGAACAGCTAACGAACAGCAACAAGCTCAACGTCCATGGTACATGAGTGGAGGAGATGACGAACGTTTTGCTCATCATTGGAATAACGATTGGTCAGCAAACAAAAATAAGGTTTTATTTGTAAATAAAACACACCCTTGACAAGCTATGTTCAGCAAGAGTTCATGCCTTTCCAACCAAACCCAGTAGGATCAAACATGGACTCCAAACCATTCAATCCATGGATGAACAGTCAAGATAGTGAAGGAATTGATAACTTCCAAAGACAAGTATTTGTAACACCGTCATAACAACAACAATCAATAAATTTGAGGAATCATTCAATGTACCCATTGATGTGGCGGTCGATGATAAGGCTCAAAGTGTCGAAAAATCTGATTCATTCCAAACAAACACATGGCAACATACTCAAGCTGAGCCCGCAAAGGAAACTGAGGTCAGAATCTTCAAACGTTATGACTAAGCAATTGTTCTATCTCTTTCAATCTTATTCATTAATTGGTTTCTTTCATTATGTTCACACACAAAAAAATAGTTGAAAGGATTATATGTTTGGCGATAGCACTTATCCCTCACCCACGTATCTTTCTCTTTTTCATTCCTTTTAATATTTCCTTCATCTATCTCTCATCTCCTCTTTCTTTTCCGAAAAAAAACATAATGAATCTGATCTCTATATAGAAAGAAAACTATTTCATCACTTTTGTCAATTATTTTCCAACGACATCTGTTAGAGAATGACTTCTTTATCTCAATTAGTCATCTTGATTTGGCGTCATCCAACATTCACAAATTGAATTAGTTAGAAAGAGAATATATTGAAAATGTTAAAAATTGGCATATAATATGCTAATTATGTATTTTCTCACGTGAGACGTGAAAAACACACGTATCATCACAGACAAGGATAGATGTCTTAAATCATTTTAGAATGAAAAATTGAAAAACACGGTTGATAAGTTTAAAACGTGAAATGAAAAATATTATTTCCAGCCAGCATCCCTACCAATCGTCTCTTCGAATGCTCAAGTTGGATCATTAGAAGAGAAAGACTTCTTGCCTGTTCGTTCTGAAGAAATCCTCGAAGCTCATATGGATCATTCGGACAAGGTCATTGTATAATAATATATTTGTAATATAATGTATGCTTATAAATATTATAGATTCATGATGATGAAGAAATGGATAAGAAATTCAAATCACCATTTTTCCAGATTGATTATCCAAACTAAACGAAACAAAAAACAAAAATGAGAATCAATCGATAGTTTTGAGTAGCGTCAGCATAATATCCTTCTTCTTCTTCATCTTTTCATATTTTTTCCATCAATAACAGCAAGAACAGAAAGAAAGCAAATGTATTGTTTATAAACAGCAAAAAAAACCAAATTCATTTTCTTAGCTTTTCGATCTCGTTAACCAAATAGCTGACATATCTCAAATAATTTTTTTGTTGGAGATAGAAAGAGGCGATATGGTTTATGGCTGATTAATATATGCTGCCTAAGAGAGAGAGAGAGAGAGAGAGAGAGAGAGAGAGAGAGAGAGAGAGTGAGAAACAGATCCAATTTCCTTTACTGGTTATCTATCTATTATATATTTTCCTTCTGAAAAACAAAGATAAGAAAAATGAATAATTAAAATATGTGATAACCTTATAACTTATCGAATAACTATCTTAGTTCAGTTTCATTCGTATAATGCTAACCATGTGTAAGCTTTTATAAATGAACAATCTTATATTTGTGTCTGTATGTGTGTAAATATTTATATAAAATTATAATTTTATCATTAATTCGTTCTGCTTCTTCATCTGGTGTACGGTATCACAAATCTTCCGACTATACACATTACGTATTCAAAAATGATGCTCCTCATCTGTTTTTTATTTTATTTTTAATTTGTCCTCGTTGTCTCAAAGAACGAACGGCCCTCTTGAAATTGTCCCGCGCAACACCTGTTCGTTTCCTAGATGACCTCACGCAGCTGTAGCACCCCTCTTTCCTCTCATTTCCCCCCTTTCTCTCTATCTTTATCTCACTTCCTTCTTTCTATTTCTCTAATCCTTAATAAACACAGAAACCGAAACACAAAGAAATAATGCAACTTCTACTGTAATTATCATTCCTCAATTCGAAACATCTGCATGTAAACAAACATGCACTCGTTATCCACGTAGACAGACCTCGTTAAAACGCAATTTTCATCTGAAACCTTCCGAGAAGATTCGATTAATCCTGATTACTCGAAAAACGCTTCCCCGAAGGAATTGTAAGTTAGGAGGTCGCCATATTTCTAATGGAGGAAGTAGTAATCCCTCTATATAGCTACATGATCAATTTTGACATAAAAGAGACGCAAGAAACAAACAATTACGTTACCGAAACTGACATATAAGTCTATGGACGCCGACTTCTTTGGACAAAGGAGTATAGCGCGTGGATGAATGGCTTCGTACAATGTGACCTCAGCATCTTTTTCTTTTTAGAGACTTTGCATTATTTGCAACAACTTCTTAAATATCAGATAACCTTTGAAGATTGATAAAATTAAATTTATTGTCAATTCACTTTATGACAGTTTACGTTATCAAACAACGTGCGATAAAACAAAAGTTCCGTAAAACTATTAGATTTTGAGGAAATTAGGATTATTATGGTTAAGTGCATAAACAATATCTTTTGAGCAATAGCGTAAGAGCTTATATACATGAGATCTACTCGGATAAAGTAACTCGTGTTAATGATGTACAGCATTGTAAATTAGCATGCTACAGTTAATTAATGGAATTATTCTTTTTTAGCTGCGACTTTCTTAACAGCTTTTGGCTTTTGAGCCTTGGCAACTTTAGGCTTGGCGGCAGCTGCTTTCTTGGGACTCTTGGGCTTGACGGCCTTCTTCTCCACTGTAGCTTTCTTGGGCTTGGCAGTCTTTGTGGAGGCAGCTTTCTTGGGTGACTTCTTGGAATCAGTTTTCTTAACGGCTGATTTCTTAGTAGCAGATTTCTCCTTGGGAGCCTTGGTCTTCTTGGAAGCAGTAGAGCTCTTCTCCTTCTTTGGCTTGACGGCCTTCTTTTCCTATAACAAAAAAATATATTAACACTGAACAATGAACTAGATTCTTACCTTCTTAACGGTTTTAACTTTGTCGCCGAGACGGAATGATCCACTTGCACCAACACCCTTGGTTTGCTTCAATTCTCCAACAGTTACTCCTCTCTTCAAAGCCAAACGAAGACGAGCGTTAATCTAACAAACAACAATAAAACAATATATTACAAAACAAATTCTATACCTGGTTGATGTTGGTTCCCAAATCGTACTTGGCCAAAAGGAACTTCATGATGGCTTGCTTGGAAGATCCGGATCTCTCGTTCAAAGACTTGACGGCTTCGGTGATCATTGAGGAATATGTTGGATGAGATGGAGCAGCAGATTTGGTCTTCTCTTCTTTGGATTTAGGAGCCTTGGCTTTAGGAGCCTTTGGTGCTTTAGGAGCCTTAGCAGCCTTGGCTGGAGCTGCAGGAGCAGCAGCTGAGGAAGCCTCAACTTCAACTGGAGCAGCAGCGGCAACTTCGACGTCAGACATTTTGAAATGGAATAGAGTTACTTGTAGGTAACAAGAAAGCAGCTAATCGCGACTGACATGCAAGTGGCGTCGTCGCATATATCTACCCTAGGACGCCCCCACGCCGCAACCCAGTTTGTTGGACTAGCCTAGCGAATAATTCGTTCTAAGACTGAGTACGTTTGGTGTTATTTGATGTTCAAAAAAAGATATTTAAACGTAACTTTTTTAATTTTTTTAAAAGTTGATTTGAAGAATAGACATTTGGCTATCGAATGAATATAATCTTGAACGATTATTTTCATTTAATACTCCAGTATCAAGCATTGAACACAACCATATCGAAGTAACTATGATATCATCAAAATTTTGATTAGAAAACCTAATGGATATGATTTTTCCCAAAAAATTTTGGTATCATTGGATAGCCAAGATTGTTTTCTATCATATGAAACTTCATTCATGTTCAAAATCCGGGGAATTGACAAAGTTATAACGTTCCTTACAATGTCCACTCTACATTGTAGGGTTTTGTCAGGGTTATGGACATGGTTCAAAATGAAGCTTAATGTTGATTTTTTGAGATTTTTTTTGATTCAGATGAATTCTACGATGCTCTTTACCAGAATTTTGTAAATTTCAACCTTCTAACCATTTAACAACTATTATTTTTAAGCGTTTTTTACTAGAAGACTTGACGCGTCAACGCGCGATCGTTGTTATACTCTTGAGACTTTAGAGATTCTATAACGCTTCTAATTTGATATAAAATCATTCCTTCCCAGTATATCTGTGATTTATCTATGTATTTCTTCCTTTTAAACTCTTTTTTTCTTCCCTTTTCTACTTTTCAGAGAACTAAAAGTTCGTTTGTTTACTGTTGAAAGACTGGCTCCGCAGGGTGAACATTGAAATTTACATGTCTTTATGTCTATATTCGTAAGGAAAAACGTAACTTAGGCTCAAATGATAGGATGAGAATGTATGTATGAGAATTCGTTGCGTTTCCTTCTTCCTATTCTGTTTTAACATTCCTTTTATTCATCTTCAATTGCAATCAGTTGAAACCTTGCGACAGCGTTGAATGAGATAGAAGAGAACTTGTGAAATGTGTTTCCTCATCACTTTGTCTTTTAAAACATATTGTGTTCGAATGAATTTCTTTTAAATTGTTATTTCAAATGACAGTTTCTTAGATTAAGGCAAAACCGGCATCTTGCTTGCGGATTCGAACGAAGGCCAATATATGGACAGCACGAAACGCCGACACACATAAATATATACTGGAAGGATTTTGGATGTTGAACGCATAAATGATTTCTTTTCAAGGAGAAAGAGATGCAAAACAACTCAGCTTATTTAGATGATTTTAAACTTTTAATATTGTTGAGGATGAGCTTATAAGGTGATGTGTGCTAAGCTACCTCAAAGAAATCATTTCTTAATGTTCTTCCTATCAGCTATTCCTTTCTTCAGCCTCCTATCTCAATAGCATCTTTTTTGAATTAAAAAACGAATTCATTCCTACAGATCTACCTCTCATTAGAATATGAGCGCAAGTTCGAAAAAAAAAAATTTGAATGCAACCGATTGGCGTCTACAACCAAGTGAAAAATAAAAGTGTTCAAGTTGTTATTGTTGTTCTTCAGAAGGCTTCATAGGGACGAAAATACATGTATGGCTAAAGTATGTTCATTATTAATTCTTTCTTCATCCGAATTCTGTATCCGCTTTGTATGAACGTATTTGGAATGATTGCTTCAGTTTCAATCGATATTCTTGATTTTTCTAAATAAGTGTACACTCTAATATATGTTTGTATGTGAGAAAAAAAAGTGTGTTCTATTACAAACTGTTAGGAGTGAGGTTAAAGAGAGTGCATCTAATATGTAGAGAGGTTAAAGAAAGAAAGAGAGGTGTATTTGACCTCAAGTGAATAACACGTTGTCCATCATTATACTATTGGGAAATTATCTGTTGTTTATGATGGATAATATTATTTTCACGGAAAAATCAATAAAAGCATCATTCGAAGACTCAAGAAGTTACTCTAAAGGGGAAAAAAATAAATTTTTATATTTTTTTTTTGAAAAATGCTGCAAAGGAAGAAAGAAAGAAAGAAAAGAAAGAAAGGAAAAGAATGTGATGTGGAAGGAGAGCAGTGAAGGTTTGCAAACATTTCAAACATACATTTTCTCTTTTTTCTTTTCCTTCTGAACTATTTTTCTTTTTTTGGGCAAAGCACACACACATGAAAGCTTTTAAAGCTTTGAATAGATTATGAAATTCATTAGAGAAGTGTGGTTCTGTTGAAGTTGTAGAGAGTTGAAGACAGATTTAGGTGAAGTGCGTTATGAAGAAGGAAAGAGCCAATTACAAGCTAACATATGAAAATAAAAAAGCTTTGATTATGTTACAGCATGTCTTCTGGTTTTTATAGGAGAGCTAATGATAAATGTCATTGCTTGCTGTTCTTAACGCTCAATCGATTTGTTTTCACATTTTCTTTTATTCGGGTGTATGAAAATAAGTTCTCTAAACAAAATCAAAGAAAAATATATAAAAGAACGGAAAGTATTCTTTCCGTAAATGTCATCGAGACATCGTTTGTTGAAAACTCTTCTACCTATTACTTACGTTTATCAATCATCGTTATGAAGGTAGATTCATTCATTCATATTCCTCACTAATCTCTATTAACAATTATTCGTTATCAATCATGATTTTCATTAATCTTTATCTTTTTCAGCTAAAATTCGATTTAGTTTTCATTTCATTTCTGATTCTAATTACCGGCTCATCAGCAGCTCTATTATCTGGCTGTGTGCCAGCACTTGTGACCCAATGTACAGCATGCTGTGCTCTCATCTTTTCGTCTTCAAATTGTTCATTGAATGATGTTTTTCGTGTTCGAATCAATGGCAATGGTGCTTTAGGAGCTATGGTAATTTCATCCTTTCCTTCTACGGATAACAATCTAGACGAACAAAAAATTGACGAATCGATAAAAGTTGCAGAGCGTTGCATGAACGCATCATTCAAACTTATATAATGGAATCTAAAATCTCTATTTTGAATGAAATCTTTTTGTGAGAAGATTAAGTGACTTCATCCTTACAGTGGGATGATACAGCTGTAGCTGTCATGGTAAAACGGCCATGTCTTTTGGAAATGTGGGACTATCGTAATCAGACAGGTAAACAAAAAATATAATCTCTTAACATCATGAAACGTTCTGACGTTGTAAACTGTCATTTTAGGAGCTCATCGAACATTTGGATTGGATGGCTATGATGTTTTTGACCTCGAACGTTACGGGTTTGATCGTCGAGCCTCAAGTTTACGATGCACCTGTCAAAATCCACCACAACTGAACATTGACAACTCTTCTCTACCATCAGAATAAATTTTTAATCATCGAAAAGAGTGGAGTAGAAACACAAGACACATCTCCATGGTAACGGTTGTAATGATATCAGATTTGGCGTTACCTTCTCGAATTCTTTCAATTTCATTGTTTTTGCACATACTCTTCGTCCCTCTCACTCAATCACAAAACGAAATTGTTACTCGAATTCGTCAGTTAGATGCCATGGCAAGAAGGAACTGTCTACCGATCGTCGTCAGCTTCCTCCGAAGCCCAAAGGCAGACTATGAGAGTATGTGTCGTCAGCGATTCTTCTGAATTCAATGAAGATCCAACGTCTGATGACGAAACAATTGATAGAGATATTATATATGAAGATCGTTATTGTAAAGTAAGTTATCGATTTATGTTTACCGTTCGAAAATGAAAAAATTTATTTTAAAGTTGAGCCATACTAATCTTATCCTCAAGTCATATTATTTCCCTAAAGGCCAGCAAAAGCGAATAGCAATTTCTTCCATCCAATCTATTCAACAGATAAAAGATTCTTCGAAGATTGTTTCTTGGGGTGTACGAGAGAACATTTGGTGGAATCACGATCCTAACAGGTTTGATCATATTCTTCATATTTGGTATTAAAGATTGAATTGACATGGAACCGAATGAAGTCAGCAAAAAGTTTTCGTTTCAGAACCACACGTATAGCTTTCCCTTCGCGTTATTTCGTAGTCGATTGTGGGCAGGCACTATTGAAGGGATTCACCGTAAAATCTCCCAACGATTTCTGTAATGCACTATTCAATCTGACACCATGTATGGAAGGACGTCAAACCATTTGTCTACAAGAAACACATTCGACATCAGAGATCATCTAAAGAAAGTTTATTATTCTAATATAAAGAGATAAGCAGTAGAAAAATTAGAAGAAAGTTCACAGAATTGATCTGTTTCATAATAATAATTCTACATTCCAATAAAAGTTCTATGTTATAAAGTTCAAATTGGTGTTTGTAAGCCAGTTTGTTGTAGTGCGACACACACATTCTCCTCATCATCTTCATAGGTGAAGACATTTGCATTAGCTGCTATAATATCATATTTTATATGTTCTACCATTACTATCTATTGCATTGCCTATACCTGAGCCACCAGAGCCAGGCGATTGATTTGGTAGACGATTTGGCCGTTGACTATGTGAGATTGTTTGCCTAACAACATATTGAACGAGAGAAAACAGAATAAAAACTTTACATGAGTGTGCGATCACGGAAAAGGTCTTGACTCATTTTGCGATGATTTGCCATATTTAGATGACGAACTATTTTGGGATTATAGCATTTGGGATCAGAGACCATACGGACAAGGAAAGATCTAGAGATTTTCATTAAAAGTTCATAAAAAAAATTCACAAAAGTACGACAATATTACACCATTGATGGGCAAAAAAGTAAAAATGTTAATGAGCATGCCTATGATTAGTGGAGATTAATAGAATCTTGTTAAAGGTTCTTACACAATTTAATAATCTATCTGTCCTCATCATTTTCTGGTTTTTTTTTTCAATCAGCTTCTATGGAATGTTGGTTAAAAATATTTTTCTAGGAAAACGAATTGCATTCACAACGATACTACACATGGGCATGGTCCTGATCGACAACACGACACTCTAAAAGCCATGCACATGACAACATCGAACGAAAGAACACTCTAATTAATACCTTTTTTTCGCTAAACTCTCCTGCTGTTTGTGAGCTAATAGTTCTTCTTTGGAAATTTGGGCTTCGATAGCTGGATAAGTAGGTGTGCTATCCAGCGAGATCTTCAAAAGAATTTAATACATTATAACCAGCCAGAACATCAGTGAAGAACCTTCCTCTCCTTTCCCTCCTCTTCCGCCTTATAGGCTTTTTCTTCTAGCTCTTCAGCTTCTCTGTCTTCTAATAATACTTCCGCTGCTTTTTCATCTGATTTGGATCATTGACAACCATCTGAATACTCATAACTTACGCAAAATATGTTGAGCTCCTTGTGAAATTATATCATATGCGATTTCAATGTCCTTATCCGAAGCATTCTCAGCACAGACACAGAAACGAATTACGAAGCGATCATTTAAACACGCAGGAACCTTGATAAGAATTGAGAATCAAGTTGTAAAAAACTTCCGACGTACCATATGAATACGGCCGGAGCTATTAAGACGAGTAAGAAGAAGCTGATTACGTTCATCATCACCCTGTGAACTAATGTTGTTAATTCCAATAATCTACGAAATCTCAACCTTCATTCGGAAACAAACTAGTCCCAAGTGCACATCACCAACTATCTCAAAGACCTGATCAGCTCGAAGTAAAGCTTCCATTTTTTTTGCCAGACGAACGTGCTTTAATAAAAATGAATTTAATCATCTGATTCTCATTGCGAACCTCTCGGATATATCGTTGAAGTCCTTCAACTCCATACATTCGAATAACAAACCAAAGTTTCAAAGAACGGAAACGCCGACTCAGAGGAATTCCCCAATGACGATAATCGATTGATTTGTCTTAAACGAGTTCTCATAATATAGAACATGTTTTGTAATACTTACCCATCCAGCTGTGTTGAAGATAGAGGGGATCAACTACCAGAGCCTGAGTGAGTTTAAAACGATCACGTACCCTGGAACAGACAATGATCGTATGAATACACAGACAGGTAAACTGACCACATAGTACTACAATCAAAGTTAATAAGCATAAATTTGTTGGGGTTAGTATTAAAAGACATGGCATATTCTATGCCGTTCATCAAATGACGGAATTCTGGACAGATCATTGCTGATCCAGCGTAAGCGGCATCTACATGAAGCCACAATCTAAGATTGCTCATATGACTACTCGATACTAATGGATAGTTCTCCTACTCATTCTCTTCACATACTGGTCCTATTTCGGATAAAACATCGAACGAACAACACGATGTTGTTCCCAAAGTGGTGGAAACAAAGAAAGGAATCAATCCCAAGTTTCTATCCTCCTTAACCATTCAATATAAGTTATCTTGCGCGAGGAAATGTTCGAGAACCTGGATGGCGTTTTTCAGTGTTTCTCCTCGCAATCTGAATTTGCTGTCTGTCTCTAATATTCTCAATTTGACCATTCCAATCATACAAGCCTTTTCAACAGATGAATGTGCCTATAATAAGTCATAAGATAAGAATGCTTATCCCCTCAATTATCCTTGAATAACCTCTTTAGAGCAATAAGCAATCAGTTTTGAGAGTAATAGACCTTCTTCAACAAATGGAAAACGTTGACGAAGTTCTTTCATGACTTCAAAGCGGGCAGCAAGTAATGAAACGAAGTTACATTCAGACGCTGATCCCTTAAAAGAGCTTTGAGATGAACAATCCTGTTTATACAAGTACCTGAATAACTCCGCCACCTTTAGCTCCTTCAGTCAGAGGTAGAAACTCTTTCGGAAGTCCAATCATTTTTCCGAACCAATCGAGCATGATCATCTCCAGTTCAGTCATGGCTGGACAAGCAGCCTAGAAAACAAAGATTAGCAACAGCAGAAAAAATCGACTAACCCAGCTGAATCCTACACATCCAAGAGCATCACTGAGCATATCTGCTAAAATGGATGGAAAACTGTTTCCAGCAGGGAAATAAGCATGGAATCTTAATCATTTGATTGAAAATCTTAGCCATCCCAATTCACTCAATACCTCGGATGCTGCCAATGAGTGATTCCCGGCATAATCAGTTTTTCAAAGTCGTCGATAACAGTTTGCCATGACTCAGCCTTATCAGGAGCATCGGAAGGAATCAAGTCCTGCATTCAATGTAATAATAAAGAAACAAAAAAATGAAAAACCTTTAGATACCCAGGTTCGATCGCCGGGACAACTCGTCTTTTATGAATTGTCTCCATGTAATCAGCGATATAGTCTACGGTTTCTTTTCCATATCTACGGAATTGAGTTCGTGACATTCCTGAGATTGGTTCTTCGTCAGTTGAACTAAGCTGCAGTTCATTACCCATGTTACCATCCGGCATAAGATCATCAGAAGGCATTTCTTCAAGAGAATCTTCTTGATTTTTTGACAATTTCTGATCAGCCGGTGTGGAAGGGGAACTTGTACTTGGTACAGAACTTTTACCTTTACAGAAAAAAATGTGTGAGTAGTGAAAGTAAAAAAAAAACTAACGACTTGGGGAAAATGAATCACGAAGACGGTTACTGGTAGACTGGCAATAAGAGTTTAAGTTCTTCAAAGCATCTGTTAATCCATACACCATTTGCAGGCTGTAAAATCAGATTGCATCAGCACCAAAAATGGAAAGAAAAGAAGGAGGAGATAGTTAAAAAGTGGAAAGTTAGAAATGAAAATTATGCTCTGAGACTAATTGCTTCCTAATAAGAACAATGGCAAAGATGGGGTCTATGATCGATATTTGTGCACAAGAATGGCAAGGACTGTATCACAGTATGCTCCAATAGATAGAGCGCAAACTACAACATTTGACCGATATCTAATGATGTATGGATACCGATAAAGGAAATCAAAAGTTTTGATTTGATTGTCTAAGATCTAGGCTATCTATTTATTGTTTACTTTTCTATAAGATAATAAAAAAATAAAGCTTTAAGTTTATGAACATACCAAGGCCGGTGTGTATGTATATGTGTGGATGAAGAAGATGAGTAGTAGCTTTAGCGGTCTGAGAATAATGCGATTGACAGCTCTATTTATCCTAAAAATATAAGTTGAAGTTCAAAATCTTCTCAGCTGCCTGTTTCTGATGATGAGTCGTCAGGCTTCTCCTTCATCCATACTTGAATTATATCATCTTGTAATACGTCATTTGCAGTTGAGAGCTTTGGAAAAGCCATTAACATTCGCTTTAGCTGTTTGAAGAAATTTCTGAACAAATTGAAATGATCTAAAGTTTATATGAGATATTATATTGTAGATAGAAGGAATAGAAATATGATTTTCCCGGATATTTTCTTTCGGATCGAAAAAGGTGATAATAGCTTTCCTTTATCACCGTCACGATAAAGAGCAGAATGATGTTCGCTGATGCCATCACTCTTAACTTGCTTCTTCATTTTTTTCTGTTTTAGAACTCCTTCTTATCACACGGACTGGACAGAAAAAACATAAGAGTTTCTATACTCTACAAGTGACTTCAAAGCAAAGTCATCTTTGGTTTCGTGATAATCAAGAAGTTGAGAACATGATGCTGACATCAAGTTCCTCACTTAACAGCTAACTATGGGCTCTTATCTCTAACAGTGGATTGTATATAGCGATAAGCTTTATGCATTTAAAATGATAGGTGATCAAATTATCTTCTGTATTTTAAGAAAGCGACTGTAATTTCAAAAATAATAGATGCTTGGCTCTCTTTTACTCCTGAGAATTTTTGTTTTTATTTGTTACAAATTTCAGTTTCAGAATGCTCAAATCATTAGCCACTATATTGGCATTAATAGGTTGTTTAAATGAAATGAAAACACTTCACAGTTATCATAATTTCAGCTTTATCTCCCTTCTCACATGCTTACGTTGAGAGAGAATGCCCTTGTTCGAAAGATGATGGCAACGGCTTGTGGCTTGATATCTCCATCGCAATTGATGTGTCAGCCGGAATGGGCTCAGAATCTTTGATTATGGTTAATCAATAGCAATTTTCATTAACAAACCTCTATTACAGACTGTAGGAGATATAGCTTCACTTTTTCCAACAACAGCAATTGGTAACGACACAGGTCCATCGCCTGGACAAACTTCTCGTATTGCTATTACTACCTTTGATACAAGAGCGAATACGGTTAGTTTTTTAAGGTCTCTATCGAAAGTTTCATTAAAATTTGAAGGTGTTTGGCTTGAACGATCTGACTTCCAACAATGATTTCAATAACCAAATTTGGAATATTATAAATATTAATACAACTAATCCAACCTCCAGTTTGAAAGTTGGATTATCAGGCGCTCTAAGTGCATTAACCAAAGGAAGAGCTGATGGTAAACGCTCGAACTTCCGTCAAGTTATCATTGTTTATACTGCCACATGCGAGTGAGGTGAGCAAATGTTTTTCCAATCTTATATTTCTTTGTAGCTCCACCCCCGGAGATGATGATCCATCGAATATTGCTTCTGATATTAAGGGAGATAACATTGATATAATTATGGTGGGATATGACAAAATAGGTACGCTGAGTTCGTTGATAGTTGAAAGCAGCCTCAGCTCGCAATGTTGCTAGTCAAAAGAAAAGCAATCAGTCCAGTTTAGTATTATGCTGCTGAGACTGGCTGTCATATCTAAGAGCACTATCATTATATCTGTCAGTTTTCGTCATGTCTTTCCAGGAAACGGTAATCTCAAAACATGCGTCAAAAATTTGGCATCACCCAATTCCGCCTTCGCCAACACAGACAGCAATTTAGTTGGAGAAATTCAACAGGCTCTATGCCAAGGTATAGTACCCCTCAATCGGTTTCACTATTTTTCGTATTAGTAAACTGTTTTTGTGCCCCGCTGTGGTCCAATTTCCATTCCGGAATGAAAAAGTTTGGAACCTGCATTAGACTGGGTTAGTTCAATAGCGACGGGTTAGACAAGTGGTTTGATTAAGGAAATTCTCCCGCTCTGTACCAAGCAGCAAAGCATTCTTGCAATGCCTTGGCACCTGATAGTTACCTCGTGAACGAATTCAGCGCTCAGAAACACAACTTTGTTGTCGGTGGGTAACAAAGATGTGTGTTTTGTCTTATTTCATTATTCAGGATCTGCTAAGGGTGATCCAACATTCAAAGTTCCCCATTTGTTCTATATTGGATTGACTTATGTCAACGGTCAATGGCTCTGGGAGCAGCAAGCAGGTTCCAGCCAAATTCCATATGTTGTGAGTTTCTGAACTGCTCTTCAAACAAATAAAATTTAGCAATCGAATGATACAAGCTTTGGTTGGTGTCCTGGTTTTCCAGACGGAAAAGAAACTGCTGGAAACTCATGTGTCTTAGAGACTCCATTGAGCTCCAGTGAAACTCAGGTACCCATCGCGTCTTGAACACTTTGTGAGATGTTTCTATTCAGGTGTGCTGGCAAAACGTGCCTTGTATTCCAGCCAAATACTATTATTGTCAAAGAAATACATGTGATGTGAATAATTTCTGTCCTTAGATATTCTAAACTAATAAAAACAATTTTCGAATTCAAACACATTTATTAAATTCTATTCCACAACTTTTAATGATTGAGGATACAAAACAACAAATTGGGAGAATGAACCCGTCGTCCCACCAAGAGCTGGATGAGAGTGTGACATGGCTATAAGAATCAGAAAACAACTAAAAAAATCAAATATGGTACAGGGAAAAGTTAAAAACTGATTGCTTGATATATACTAAAACTCGACCCATTTTTTAGAAAAAAAAGCCAATACGAAAATTGTTTTCGATTTGGTGTACTTTGATGACGAAACGACAATAGATGCACACGAGCAGAATATCCAATTGATATTGTAAAGTTTAATGTGCACTAGAAAAAGACTAGACTCTTCATAAAAAAAACTCAAAGGAAAGAATAAAATAACTAATCATTCGATAGGCATTCAAAAGCTACAAGGTGTTCCCGATAAAACTTTCACACGTTTACGTGCTTTAAAAATGAATTGGATAAGACAAAAAAGACGAAAATTTTAAAACACTTCCAGTAAAATCGTCTAGAATTAGAAAACGAATCAATTTCTAAAAACTAGATACCGGTGGCGCGGTATGACAGAGACAAAAACATCACAGAAGGTTTGAAGATAAACTTTGCATAAGGAATATAATATAAGGATACGCTGAAGGCAAGGCTCACTAAGCGAAAAAAGGCAAAAACTAATTAATTTCTCTCTTGTTTATTATACTTTCTGTTGCAGAAGCGCTAGACGAAAACCTCGAGCCGGAAAATGAAGGGATTATAATATGGGGCTCGGCAGGTATATGATACCCGAATCTGTGACGGTGTCCAGCACCACAGTCTACACGAACTAGAGCTTGGTCGTTGATAATGGATGATTTGATTAAATAGGTATACAACAATATACAGGTGGATGAGGTTATCCAACCAGGGTACCAGTTCATAGTTAAGTTCACCAGTCAAGTGTTTGATAGGTCCAAACGTTGAGAATACATGATAGCCTATACATATTCGTCCACTACTGCAATAACATGGCTTTTGTAAGCTTTCGACAGTCCTCTTTGCCAAAATGTAAGAACATGACGGTCCTAAAAATATCGACTAAGTTCAAACAACCAAAAAGTTATTATTGAGCAACATGACGTTGGCACGATAAAGTAGTGAAAGGGGAGTAGTACATTGTATATCAATAAGTTATATGGAGGGGTTTGCTTTTCGCATATTTCGAACTGAAGCAAAAAGGCGTTACCTCATAAAAAGCTCATAAATATCATATGACGATAAGAAACTTCGTTCGTATTTAGCACCTAGTTGACAGCTCAAAACGCTCACCTGTTCTGTACAGCCACGTATTAACTGCATCAAATCTCCTCGATGCATCCTCGGATCTCGGAAACGTTGTTCTTCTAACTGATACAGAAGCTTGGCTCGGGACATCCATTGTTCTCTAGTAGATCTCAAAGTCGCGTCCAGACAATGGATGTTGATTTCTTTATCTGGAAAACAAGTCAGTATTTAAATAGTTATCGAAATAAACTCGAAGACAAATCGCATTCCTTGAGTTGCCAACTAAACTGACCCAATAACAATTGCTTATAACGTTGGAGCAGTGCTGGTCTATCATAAACACTTTTAGCTTCTGGACGACGAAGAATAGTGAAGTTACAATTGTGCATTGACCAAGAAGGCTCGCCATTCGCTGTTACACGTATCACAAGCACATCCTCATTACTAGGAATATGAATAGGAACAGTAGTTCCCAACATGTTGTATCTGAAAAAATAACAATACATTTCTCGATCTATAGGTAACTTTCTTTCGTTCAAGTTTCCAATATTCTCTATCTGATGAGTGTGCTTAGCTCTCAAAAACAAAGAAAGTCTTTGTTCAAAGTAAAAGGCCAAATGAGGCAATAACTCTATTGATCAAACACGCAACAAAGCTATGTGTGTTACAAAAAAACATATGTCGACAGATAGATATTCGATCCATGCGCTGAACTTCAGAAACGATGGGACGAGTTACAATACACAATTAACATTCTCCACTCGTTTCCCAATTTTTGTATTGAAATAGGATGAAACATTTTTATGAATAGGTTGAAACGTGGAACCTAAGCATTCATATTCTGGCAATTATCAATTATTTAGTGAGACCTTGATTGGCATACTCATCTAGTATTTTTCTAATAGTCCAATGAATAAATTTATCCTAGTAAACATAAAGAACAAATAAGAGTCACATCTGCCTGCTGTTTCACAGGACGATCAAAGATCAAACTCAAAAGCTGTGAATGGAAGATATCTTGTACACTGAGTACTATTGGTAAATAGTACGAGGATTACCAAAGATATCGAATGAACCATAGTCAATTATAAAGAAAGCTTTGGATAGCCTATAGTAATGCAACCATTCTGTTAGTCCTCTCATTATTCAGTTAATGGGAAGTCATCAGATCAGGATAAGTAAAGCTTCAACATATCCTTAATATATGGAATCAGCTGAAACACTAATAAAGTGATGTTCGAAACTTATGGTCAACTGTGACCTGCCCAAATAGCGAAGCTAGCGTATACGTTTAACACAGACGTTTTCTCTGCCCCACTAGGCAATAATATAAAGCTGAAGCTAATAAAGAAATAGCGCGTATGGTGGAAAACATGGATATTAACTATTACCCCAACACCCTACTCCCCCCCTTTTTTTGCCAATTTTATAAATATATATATCTACCTCCTTTACCTTCCGAAATTATTTGTTGAGCAAATCAGATCAACAAGGCAATCATCCGACGAAAAAGAGAACAACTAGAAAAATTGAAAGAGTGGGAATGAATCAACACAGCAGTATTTTCTAACTTTGTTCTGACACGTCATTTCCATCTTATTTAAGGAGCATCTCAATTTAAGTTTCAAATCGAAACCCATAAAATATCTGGATGAAAACAACAGAAATCCATATTATATTGAACTTTCGGATTATAGGAACATATAATTTTCCATCCTTACGGTTGAGAACGTAATTACTCGCGAAACACAAAACCGACCATGACATGTTACTTATAATGCTGTTCTTTCTCAGGATATTGATGACCTCTACGCCTGTCAATTGGATAAACCAATTTCTAAGATTATCCTATCTTCATCGGAACATGAAGTCATGAGAAAAATTACGTGATATACAAGAGTGAGAAAAACTCAGAGTATAACACATTTCTGTCAATAACAACACAGCACCAAAGTCAGATCGGTCGATTGATGAAGAAGATACTTTTCAATTATCATTCAACTTTCAGCCCAGTAACACCACTTTGATATAAAGCTCTTCTTCTCTAATCTTTTTCGACGATCAAAGAAGTGAAATGATTACAATTAAAACTTACAGAAACGACTGGTAATGCTGATCTGCGCAGGTATTGATGCGCAAACATCCTATAGGGAGAAGATTCGTAAGCGCAAGAATAAACTGTTTCGCCGAAATCTGGTGATCACTTTCAACGACGAGCTGAAAACAAAAGATTAAGCCGATATTTACTGAGAAAAAGTTGTTAAGATGTTTTCCCTTTTACCCCAGATGCCTAGTACTTTGAATGTATTGCTCAGAACATTAGTTTTATTCGTTCTTCAAGGCCATTCTCAAAAAAAGTCGTTTACAGTGCCTCTGAACACGATAATAAAAGGAGCGCCCCGAACGTATGGGATTAGCACATTTTATTTTTCACACATGTCTTCAGTAGCAGACTTGTGTTGTTCTAACCCATAAATATCCGAACAAAGCATTATTTCGAAATGTTAACGCTTCTCACAACTAAGACTTCACATAATTCATCTGGCGGCTCAAAAGCGGGGTTGTATCGTCGAGCTTTAAGTGAGGAAGTCAGAATTCAAGAAATATTCGAATCCTTATTGTCATAAGGGATTAGAGAATTATTTTCGACAACAATCTCAAACGATAAAGGAAATAGCTTATGCTGGCACTCAATCGTTATACCAACCAGAATATTTCGAAGACCATGGAATATTGGTTCAGACCATACATGTGATAAATTACTAGCAGATGGTCAATGTTTGAGAAGAAGAACTGACAATAATATAGAAAAGAAAATTAGCCTCAATTATTTTGTCCTATCGCCGTAAGATCTTGCCAATTGAAAAAGGAAGCTTTTAATTACAAAAACCCAGATATTATAAGGATAACTCAACAAAGAACTTAGGCGCTGGTCCAACATAGTTGAATAATTAGTTTTCTCTCAAGTATACCAATCAAGTCTTCTATTAAGAACATTCAAAAATGGACCTTATCCTCGGAAGAAGATGAAAATGTTTTATATACTCAAACGATTCTTCTTCTTCATGCTCGCAGATGCACAAACAAAATGAAAGCACATCATGATTCAAACTTAGATAAGAGCAACATTTGGACAAAATAGATGGGACTAGTTGAAACACTAGAATCTGATATAAATATTTTTCTCGGAGAGCGAAAAAGCCTACATATCATATGTCTTATTTTAAATCCGTAACCGCGTTTTTCCTGAAGGATACCAATGGTGTTTCGCAGTAATAGCTAAGGCAGCGTTTCGGATATTTTCAATATTCACCATGCGTATCTTGTGTCCCATATACATGGAAGCAGAGAAAACCAGTTGTCGGCAAATTAAGGCCCTTACCGTAACCCAGGAATATCAATATCAACTCAGAATATTTACAGGCTTTTGAGATCTTATGTTTTTCGCACTTGAGCATGTAAAAGGATAGGGAACATCAAGCGTAAGATATACGAGAAATATAAAATGAGATACACACCTGTCTTCCTGTGATGACTTGTCTAACTAAGAGATCCAAATCCTTAATTTCGTACTCAGCAAAAGCACGAGCAATTATTTTGAGATTACCGAGCTGTTGGTGCGTAATCTGAACATGATTCATCAATAAATTTCAAAATCTAGAAGGTACCTCAGCTTGGTTAGGTTGGTCCAGATCCAATTCCGCAATGTCTGAGTGCTCCATTTCCATCATGACCTATAATGACCGATCGTAAAGAAGGAAAAGGTCACTAAACAAAGAGGAAGTGATTCTTGAATTAACTATTTCAACTCAATCGCAAAATTCAGATATGAAGTTCTGACTCACGGTTCGCTTTCAAAGCTCTCTCTCTCTCACCTAGAACAATTAAAAAACAACAAACGGATGATGAAATAGTAACTCGCCATTCAAGATGACTAACTCTAATTATAGATAATTTCTTGCGTACGAATATGAAAGATTGATTCAAAGAAGCATTTGTACTCATAACAACCTATATAGTCATAATCATTAGCATGGAAAGAGGAAAATTTAACATTGAAAACTAGGCGATTGGCTAATAAAATCAAACGAGCTTTCTGTAGTAGAGACAAGATTGGAGTTAAAAGGAAACGTTAACCCACAAGAAAGAAAACTAAGGGAAACAGAAAAAAATTTAAAATGTGAAACATACCAGCATATCCTGCGTTGGGACACCCTCCATTACCTGATCCATGTAACGCAGGGTTTGGGTTCTCAACGTCCACATCATCTGCCTGTAAGGAAGTAACATAGAAAACGACCAAACCATTCTCAAAAGTTGGACATTTAAGGCAGAACAAATAATGCAGCAATGCGAAACTATTCGATATTGAGAAATCTTCGCACGTTTTCGCAAGCGATGAAAAAAACAGTCAAAATACAATTTTGATATATTGGCTTTGATTGGAACTATTGTACTTATCGAAAAGGAGAGATGGCTTTCTTTAATCTCTGCCCAGCCCACCTAGATGGATCGACAGAATTCACTGAATGGAGAAGAACGGTTTCTGCTGCTGAAATCGTTCCATTCGAATGAAAAACCCATCTACAAGAATAGAAGTGAATCTGGCAAAGCGGGTAATGTTGTGAGGTTCAGCCTAGGCAACTAATGACAATGTGAGAGCCAGAGAGTGAACGATAGTCCCGCCCTAGCGGCGCGATAGGGACGGAGAGGGTGGGATGGTGGAGCAGGAATGAAGAGGAATACAGAAAGCCCAGAAGAGACACTTATTTTCTTCAATATGAAGAACAGCGAACTTTCGTTTAGCTAATAAATATCTTTAACTATGCACCGATATAAAACTCGTTCAGAGATCAGTAAGTCATTGAGAATGGAGTGTATAATCATTTTCAAAAAATTCCTTGAATATTAGCATAAATCACGAAGATGAATATCTGCACTTAAACATATACGTTCTCTCTATGCTAATACAGAATAAGGAACTGTTGTTTAGAGAGAACGAAGAAAAAAGGGAAATTTAGAAGAAAATAGACAATTTTATCGAATGAAACCAAATGTGACCAGCGCCCTAGATGACGTCTGGGCAACATGTGGAACTTATACATTCAAAGAAATGTTATTCTCAGCTTTGAAGTTATATTAGCTTCTGTTGAAACTAAGTCGCTTATTTCATAAGTAATCCTAACGACAGCCTCGGGACTGGCACAATCGATGGCTTGCTCAATAGTCGTCGTCCGATTCATGGACGGCAGGCGCCAACTGCATCAATATCACCAGAAAGACTACCTTTAAAGTCTTCATCCATCGAAATTTTGAAGAATATTCCAGACTGAGCTTTTTATAGTTCTTCATCTCTTCAACGGATTCGTTTTTCATCGTCATAGATTTCTGCGCCACGAAAACACACATACACACAGACACTAAATATTTAATTTCAATGCTTAATGGTTTAAGGTTATTGGGAGAAAGCAGTTTGTTATTAGGTTCAGTTACAAGCTGAAAGTCAGCAGAACAATAATTCAATATTTTTATGATCGCTTTGTCGAAGGCTCAACACACCTCGAAGGGACTTTAAAGAAATGTAAAGACTTTGTTGGGAATGCAGTACTGGCTTGTTTGTCGAGCTTCTTTTGCGGACCCTTGCAGACTTCTCGGCTCAATATAGTTAGACATTCTCTCCTTATAAAAGAAAAGAGTGCTCTATATAATTTCCTTGGTTAGTTTCTCCTTCGCGCCAGAACATAAAGAATGGAACAGGATACTTCTTACAAAGTCTTTTTATTAAGCATAGAAAGCTGTGCAAGATGATACATACGCCTCGAACAGTATGTCTCTCTTCAGCCACCTCAGACGAGTCGCTTAAAAAGATTAGCCAAATGTGAAAAGAAAATTTCCGTTATTTAAATATTATTCTTCTCATCAGCACCGTTGTTATGTGAGTTTTTGCTTTAATACAACAAAACCGAAAATTGTTTTTCAGGCATTTGTAACCTAAGTATTGAAAATTTTCATGAAAATACTTGTTCGTGTGCTTTATATCTCTTCAACAAACATCCATGGATCATAAAAGTATGTGATTTCCAAAATAGGAAAGAGATTCATACACATAGTGCTCTAAGAAATTATTCAGTTCATGAATACTGATCGTTATACTTCTATTAACCGACCATCAACCCTCCTGCTTCATACTTTTGATGAGTTAAGGATCATTCATAAGATGATGAAATATATGAGCAGAGTATACGTGAACATCCGCTGTTTGGTTGCAAAGAAAGGGTGGGGAATCAGAATGGGTATGGATAATGGGTATTCAGATCTGACATCAAAATCGCTCACTTACTAGCTTTTTTGAGCTTTCCGACTATTTCGATTTATCACTACAAATATACAAACTGTCAAGTCAAGAGTTCCAACAGTCCGTGAAGCAAAAACTAGAAGGAAAAAGAAAAGAAATTTCTTTCGAGTTCGTCTCTCATTCTTTCAACCTTTCATCTTAACGAATGCGATACCCTACTGTTCGCGACCTCACTAACAAACACTTGGCAGTAAGAAGCCTCTACTTCCTTCCGCAAAGAGTGAAAAGAGAATTCAATTGTGTTAAGGGGTGTTTTTAAAGGAGAATGGAGACAAAAAGGCTATAGGTTCAAAATGGATGAGCAATTATATAGCAGGAGCAAGTGCGCCCATGAACCAAAATAAGACCTATTTCATAATAAGAGTGACTCACTTGTGAAGCATTCCCCATATGTTATCATTGCCTGTTATCGTTTGTAAATTTCGATTTGTATCAATGATTATCTGAAACAATAGCATAAATCGAAAAATTACCATCAAATACCTTGCGCGGATAGAACAATTGCTGTTGAGGTATGCGACAACTCATGCTAGCATGATCAGGTCGAGCAATCGTGTCCATTTCTTTCATTTCTACTTGGTAATGTACAGCTGCCAAATCCTATTTTAAATTGATTTGAGTCTTTAGAGTATATGTAAGATACCTGCAGTTTGTCCTTCATTATCCTCAATGCTTCTAGGTAGAAGTCATGGTTTGTAGTCATGGAAGCCATATCTTGTGTCAAGATGAGTAGGGAAAATAATCGAAGGAAACCGCGAGCTTTAGCATCTTGCAATCTGAAAAAGATAACTTGAAAAGCCCGAGAATAGAGAAACTCGAACCTAAAAGCGAAAGATAAGCAGTAGCCCTGGTCAGCATCACCAAACATAAGATACCTGTAAGAAGCAAAGTATCTCTTTTCAAATATGCATACTATACCCGTCTTTCTTTTTCACATTTTCCATATCTAGAGTTTCAGAATCTGTATTGACTGGACCTCCAATTCGCATAGCTACACATATATTTGTATATTCGAGTTTATAATGTCAAATTACTTACGCTGTGTTACATTATTAATTGTTTCACGGGCGGCATTCGTTATCTCGCAACTAAGACTCCTAACGCACGCCACTTTGACGCGATCAAAAACTTGATCTTTCAACGCGATCTGAACATGATTTCTTTGCAACGTATTGATAGAACACAACATACCTGTGAGCTAATATATGTTGTTTTGTTTGGGTGGTCGTTTGATAGTAAGCATGGACCATTTCCGTAGGAAGTGCAAGCATTACATCTTGAAAAACCGTTGATAACAGAATTAAGAACCTAATCACCTCTCTTCGGTGTCGAAAACAGAGCGAGTACAATCTCCATAAAATATAGGTTCGCCCTTGTCCGGCTCCTTAACTGAAGAGTCTTGGCGAATGTGCCGAACGATTTCTTGACTACTACCGGGAGAATGCTGAAACCATACCATGAAACACAAGTGAAACATTACAATCATTCATTACCTCTAATTTATCATAGGAATTTGCAGTCGAAAAAGTCATGGGCAAACTACGCATGGGTTGACATGTGACGAGTACACGAGGTCCATGATCTTCGCAAAAATGGCACAATGCGATTACTGCCTGCATATCCAGAGACAGAATCTTTACCTAGTTGTTGCGGGATTTCGATATGTATTGCTTTCAACAACAATAAGCACACACAAGAAAGTGTATCCCAATAATATGAATTAATTGATTAGCTGAAATAATCATGAAATTAAAAAAAAAACAGCAAAACAACAAGCACGTAAACAGCACAAGAAGAACAGCAGCATTTATCGAACACGAAATTTTGAATGAAACATCCAATGAATGTATGAAGTTAGAACAGTATATAATTCCAAGTTTATCTTCCTTCCAATTATCTCCTAATTATAATGTGAATTATTTAAGCTAAGAAAAAAGGAGTCCTTGAATGGATTCCAGCATTCATCACATCATATCATATCATTCACGCCTATTATTACTTGATACTGAACAAAATTCGAACAGTAGTTATACAAATCTCAATATAGCGATTCAAGAAATATTGATGATTGTTTGGATAAAATGAAGAGCACTAATTCAATATTGAAATTTGTTCATATCACCATATTTTGAATTTCAGTGATAAAAGAATACTGAGGAGCTAATGAAGTAATAAAACTTATTAGGAGTTGCTTCCTATATTACATAAACTATTTTACGAACGTGAAGAATATAATAATGAATAAATGAAAATTTGAAAGATGTTATAAGAAAAAATAGCGAACATACGCGAATACAGAAAAGAGGAATTCCTCAGTCGCTGTTCTCTGCGATGTCGCTGATGTCGCTGTCACGTGTCGCGCGTCATACACTTAAAATGTTCTGAAGCTGACGTGTTTTAGGTGTACCAGTGCTTCGAAACTCCCAACAAGTCGTTGATTATCAATAGTTCTAGCATTGGAATACATAACTTTGATCTTATCTTCTGCTTAAGTTAGTTCCTTATATGTATATATATTGTGATGTTTAGGTGGTCATGAACGATGATGGATTTGAAAGCTTTGCTGTTGATGATGAAGACTTGGAGCGAGCTCTGAACCCTGGAACTAGGAGGCAGTTTCAAAGCAAAAATGAAGCCATATATGGTGGGGTGAGATTTGCTTAAGGCAATGTTATTATATTTGTTTGTAATAGATAATTTTGAATGTACTTCTGTCAAGTTGAATAGTTTAGTATAAACCACAAAGGTTCCGAAGACATATTTCATATATTTGTTTCAGGAATATGGGCAGGAAGAGAAGGTGGAAGTGATGAAGACGATGACGTGATCACTACCCGAGGACGGTCAGTCCAGTATTCACACGATGCGTATAACAGAAATAATATATAGGGGAAAAAGAGATGGTAAAAGAAGGACAAATTATTCAGCTCCTGTTAGTTTTGTTAGTGGCGGTATCAAAGTAGGCAATACGATGGAAACTTCTAAGGTCTGTGTCTTGTGTTATAAATCTTTTCATCTTGAGTTAAGAATGAGCCAGAGAAAGAAACTAACGCAAGGCCTCCTCCTGTGAAACAAGTTCGTCAAGCTGGAGCCAACGTTTTCGCAGGTGTTCTGATGGAGTGAGCTGATATTAAACATAGTTTTTTGTAGGAATGAGAGCATCCGCTAATCGAGCGGCTGTAGATCCCAACAAACCCGCGGATTGGGCAAAATTTGGAAAAGGAAATGTCATTATGAATATGATGAAAGTTAGAAACGTAGAAAAACTTTAGTTTAAACTTTATGTCTTCAGAACATGGGTTATAAAGAGGGGTCGGGTCTTGGAGTATCAGGACAAGGTATAATTGAACCTGTACAAGCAGCAGTAAGGGCTGGTCGAGGAGCAGTTGGAGCTTATGGAAAAGAAGCAACGGGACCAAAGTTTGGAGGTGTGCCTTCAATGTTTATATATATTTTGTTTGTGCCTTAGAGAGTGCTGCTGATGCTCAAAAACGTTTGGCAGAAGATGCAGAATCAGGATACGTGAATGATAATCAAATAAGTAAAAGCAAACCGGGATGGAAGAAAACAGCTGCGGTTAGAATATGGCTTCTTTTCGATAATTAGTGGATGTTCAGGTCAAATTGAAGTACCGAACCTTGGATGAAGTTATGGAAGAGGGTGCAAATTCTGAGACAAAGCCTTCTAGAGAACATCTGAAGGAAAAGGTATGTCATTATAATTGAAGTTGAGCTTTATGGGAGATTAAGGTAATCGACATGACTGGGAAAGAGCAGAGAGTATACAGTGGCTATGACTCGTTCACTAATCGTACCAGGTTTTAATGCCTCCTGGTCTATTCTATGTTTTTTCTAGGCAAGTAGATGAGGAACTTGTGAGGCGAGAACATTTCGATATTCCTGAACTTGAGCATAATATCAATCTACAAACACAAACCACCGAACAAGTTGTGCGAAAGAGAGGCTTGCAAAACCGTACTATGAAGGACTCTAATATAGCTCTGGAATATGAGATGCAAAGGTTAAATGAAAAGGAAGTAGAACTTCGCCGTGAGCTTCAAAGAAGAAAAGAATTAGTTGATTTAATAAGAAGGTTTGTCATTTAAATATGTATATAAGGTATAATAGTTTGTTTCAGGTTTTCTTTGCGCGATGACGAGATTTCTCATGCTATGAACGAATACCAAAGTTTGTTCATGACGTTGAAGGAAAAGTTCCGCCTTGAATACAAGTTACTCTCTTTGGAATCGATTGCAATACCATGTGTGCTGCCTCAGGTAGGAAAAAAATTTTTTTTTCAAAACTGCTACTTTTCGTTCAGATCAAGAAGTACTTCTCTGTCTGGAGACCTCTCGATCCTGAACATCTGATTTTTGGAATTGATTTGATGAAAGAATGGAAAGATATATTGGTTGAGAATGAGGATAAAGGGATACTAGCTTCGAACATTCAATCCTTCGGTTATCCTCTTAACATCTAGAAAGGGTTAATTCATGTAAATGTTTCAGATCAAATATCAGCATTTGATAGACTGTTGTGGGAAGGCTGGATGCCTTACATAAGAACAGCTGCACAACGTTGGGAACCAAGAGTACAAGTTGAAGTGATGTTAAAGATAATTGAAGTATGGCTACCATTACTCCCGAATTGGATGAAAGATAATCTTCTCGAACAAGTTTGCTGACCAATTACATTGTGAATAGTGTAATTTCTTATAGATTATAATTCCTAGAATTGACAAAGCCGTGAATGAGTGGGATCCCACTCAAGATGATATCCCTGTTCATTCATGGATAATTCCTTGGCTTGGTGTTTTGGGAGACCGTTTGAAACAGACCATTTGTAGTGTGCGACAGAAGTTAGGAGAGATCCTACAAAAACGATGGACCCCTCTCGATCAAAGTGCTATTTCAATTCTCATGCCGTGGGTTGACGTATGGGCACCAAATACGCTGGCTGCGTTTATGGCGCGGTATGTTGTACCCAAAGTAAGTTTATCTGTTGCGTTCAAATTGAGATGCTTTGTTTCAGTTAGATGATTGTCTTAAGACTATGAATTTGGATCCCAGAGAGAATATACACTATCCAGAATGGGAAGCTGTTCTGGCATGGATGAAAATAATTAACACCGACACAATAGCCAGCATTATCAATAGATCATTCATACCAAGAGTAATTTAATATGAGCTTGAAAAAAAACAATAGTGTTTTAGTTCCATGAACTGTTGTATTCCTGGTTAGATTCTGGCAATGCTGATATGGAAGAGGTGAAGCAATGGTACAGAGAGTGGTGGTCTCGAATACCTAAGCCCTTGATGGATTTCCCAAGCATTAAAGGTTGGATTATTTTCTGAACCTGAATAAGATAACATTTGTTCCAGAAAATATGAGAAGAATGTTGATGCTCATAGCCCAAACTCAAAAGGGACTGAAACTGTCCAGGTCTCTAGAAGTGGAGATGGTGACAAACGCAACTGCTGCTCCAACGTAATATTTTTTCCCCCATCGATCTAATTTTGAATTTTTTCAGAGCCCCAATAGTACAAAGAACACCTCAGCAATCATTATCGTTCAAAGAAATGATTGAAATGTTAGCAAGTCGACACGATCTTACGCACATCCCTCAAAATGACAGGTTTAAAGATGGAAGACAGGTAAACATTTATTATGAAAATATACTAATATATTGTCCAGGTTTACTGGTTCGGACCTCTGTCTATATATATGGACAAGAGCATGGTATATGTTCTTGATATTACAAGTTTTACTTGGAAAGCTGTATCGCTGGATGAGTTACTTCACTTGGCAGGCGTTACTGTGTAATATTATTTGATCTCAAGTGCTAATATTGTTCAAATTTATGAAATATACCAATTTAATTTTGTTTAATCTTATTTATTAGTTATTTTCCTGCTGGCTTATCCATAGTTGCGTACTCCAGTTGGTTGGGTTGTGAAAAGATTGTCTTTACTCGTTTCATCCTCTTGTATAACTGACAGGGATACCTTTTCCATGGGCATTTTAGTAATGGACCGAGTTGGCTAAAGGTTTAACGTTAGTGCTTATATCACTTATTCAACTTACATTTCGTGGGAACAGATGCCAAACAAATATTCCTGCCCCCATTCCGAGAGCATGCAGAACTACAGATAGAACGATATGTTGCACAGTTGTCAATTCAGTAAACATATTTGAGTGAAAACAAAGAGAAAGTTCTACGAGAGTTGTGGCCTCCGAAAATCGTAGAATCGTTAAATGAAAAAGTCATGTATCTTCTGGCTGAATAGAAATTTTCTTTACTTGTCTCCCACAAATCCACCATATTTCCCTTCAAAACGAACAATCAATTGGACAATATATCTAGGTCGCGTAACGTTTGAACAATTCCATGTCCTCTACCCTGAATATAGCATCTTTCGAGGACTATATTTTTCAGTGAAGTAAACCCCGCAGTAGTTTGCAACAGCTTACGTATTATAAACGTCAAGTTCGCCTTGATTTTCGAAGGCATTGTATACTAAGAGAAGTCTTCAACCAATTCTACCAAACTTTCATTCGAATCAGAGACATTTTTGTGAGAAAATTGGGAGACAGAACTTACTTCCCAATGAATCTTACAATTCTCGACATACTCGGAAACATCTACGTCCTGTAATAGACGTAGTTGGCTAGCTTCCTCAGCGACGAGTCGGTCAGGAAAACAGAGAGTGGGAGGACAACAAAAAAATGTGATATCTTCTTGACTCCCATTTCTTTAAGCTAGATCTTATAATATTCATCAAAGATGCATCAATAATCATGAAAGAAATTTTCTTTAAACCTTGACTTCCTCTCGTTAGAAAAATTCATGAGATGCCATTGAAACTTTCTGAACAGCAATAGGTCTCGACATGAAAAAGTTAGCCCTTTAATTCTGCAAAGTTAAGGACATGCTATATCTGTAGCTGGGGAAAGCTTTACCTTTGTGATTATTGAAGCATAAATTTTCTTAATTTTCTGGAGTGAATGTCATAACTGATTAATAACAAAAGATCCAGTAGAACAGAATGAAAATCAAGAAGTCATCGAAAGTTGTTGCCAAGCCAATCAAGAAATCAGCGAAGAAAGCGGATGCACATCCCAAGCAGAAAAAAATAGTGAGAAATTTTCTTCTTTCCTTCAAAAAACTTGCTGCATTTCAGACAGAAAAGAAAGTCAAAGCTGATTCTAAGCCAGAAGAAAAGGTAAAATTGATGTTATTCAAGTTCTAACCTGTATTCAGATTGAAAATGATAGTGGTAACGAAGATAGTGCGGATGAAATGGAAACAGGGAAAAATCATTTATCCGGATTAAAAAAGTATTTTTGTGTTCATTCTGCTTTTTCATCTTCGGTTGTAGAATTCAAGCTCAAGACCCAGACTTCTTCAAGTTCTTACAAGAAGAGGATCCAGACCTTCTCGAATTTGAAGAATCCGACATCGAGAATGAAGAAGAAGAGGAAGACGAAGATGAGGAAGAAGAAGAAGAAGAAGAAGAAGAGGGTGAGTATGCTGGTGTATACCTGTTTTCACTTGGACTGTTTTGCTTTACACATTCGTTTATTATAATTGTTGCGAAAACCCCATTTACAGGTAAGCTAAAGAGACCAAAGGCGAAGAAAGATTCAACACAAAGACTGATATTTGATGGAAATCAGTTCAGCTATCTCCAATCCATATTTGATCCAGAAGATGAATCTAAAGTTAGAAATTCAAATGAGTTGAATCTTTAAATCTGTTATCTCAGAAGATAAAACCGTCTACACAAGATTTGAAACTAGCCTTAGATGCATTCCTAGCCTGTATTTCTCGTGTTGGAGCCGATATGGATGTGCCTAAATATGTCATTAACGAGCAGGTAATATATACATTTTAAGTATTTGAACAGTTCCAGTTCAGCCTCTTTTTGATGCAACTATAAGATTGATCTTCCAATCATTAGGAGATTTCTTCTTATGTAGTTTAACAAAAGCTTCGAGCGGTATTGAGGAAGGAGGGAAGGCTGAAATTGTTCCTGTCAGTATGAAGAATATTAACTTCAAGAAATATAGAGAGTATTTGAAAGTGTACTTGGATGGTCTCATCATGGTCAGTTCTTTTTCCATATTTTTCAAATGTTCCGAGTTCCTTCAGTTCTTGAATGAAGTACAGTCTGATGCAGTTATTATTTCTACATTGAAAGCTATTCTCAAGTGCTTGTCTCTTTTCCCACTCTTTAAAAAATTGAGCAGAAACTTGGTGAAGGTAATTTTTCTGAATAGTTCTATGTAAACTATGAGTGTTAGGTTGTTGAGCGTGTTTGGTCACGAAAACCAATCGAATGTCGTGTGGTAGCATATTTTTGCTTAGCTAAATTATGTAAGATTTCTCCGGATAGTTATACTCATATCTACAAGGTGAGTATTCGTCTCCATGACTATTCGTAAAACTTGATCCAGTCATGCTATCTTGGTTTCGTGTCTAATTCGCGTGAAGTTTCAATGGACACTTGGCCTCTTCTGCAGTTCATGCACAGGTATTTGTTTTTCATAATAATAAACTATGTATCTATCTAGAACTTTCTCGGAAATAACACTGATCAACCCTGAAGCAGCTTATCCTTATGCCTTTGTATATATCAGACAAACAGCCATTCATCTGAGAAATGCCCTAATTTCTAAGAAGAGAACGGTTTGTCAACATTACAACTCTTTTTTTTACAAGTTTCTTCAAGGATATGATGCAAACTGTTTATAACTGGCAGCTCATTCAGTGCTTGTTCTTATGGGTACGTGTAGTATCCAAAGCTCATGAGATGAATGGTGCGGAATCAATTTGTGAGCTAGTTTACCCGCTCACTCAGATTATCATAGGAGTCTCCAAGTTGTTTAAGAACCAATTTATGCGTATAAGTTCCCTTTTGCAGATTGTATATTTCACGAAGATTCTTACCTCTTCGATTTCATTGCGTTACCATGCTCATTCAATTACAAGCTAATTGCACGACGTATATTCCAACTTTTGAGTTAGCAGCAGAAGTTTTATATGCTTAAATTATCGTTTCTCATGTATTTCTTTAGATTATGCCGCTTATTGAAATTCTTCTACGTAAGAAACCGAAAGTCAGCAAAGTGAAAGTTCAATATAAAGACTTATCCTGTCTGTTGAAGGTAAAGCGAACAAATTTCACCGAAAAAGTTGGAAAATTTCAGGTTTCACAACAGCAGTTTGATGATCCCATAGTCCGAAGTGACATTTGTCAAACCCACTTCCGTTTAATGCTCCAGGTTTTTTTGTTGTTTTGTCAAGTTAGTCATCATGCTTTTAGTCTGCTCATTTGTTATGCAATCAGCCTAGTTTCGCTGACTTAGCCCAACCCATTGTGAACCAGGTACTGTCTACTCTCAGCTCAAACTGTTAAAACTCATATTCAGATGAAAGTCTTCCTGAAGAATATTCGTTGTGCAGATTCACGAAGACTTTACAAAGGTCTCTTGGAGAAAGTTGAAGCACATTCCAAGTTCGTCACAAACGCTGTTGCAGCAGTGGATATCGAACTAAAAGATGAAATGAATGTGGTATGGATTAACTTTTATTCACATGTACAAAAACTATTTACAATGACAGAGAGCGCTCAAGCTCAAATTGAATACACCTGAGTCTCCACTTCGAGTATACTACAGACAGTGGGAGAAGATTTGGAAGTTAAAGCAAACGTCTCAAACTCAGGTGTGTTGACTATATAACATGGATAATTCGCTAAATTTCAGACTAAGACGGTAGAAAAAGAAGCAGAGAAAGAAAACAGAAGTTCCGAGAAAGAGAAGGTAATTTCATTTTTTATAAAAAAACAAATCCATCATTATAGACTGCGAAACCTAAGAAAAGAAAGGTAAAGATTGCACCAGCTGCATCGAAAGCAGACGCGACGATACCGGACGCCTTGGAAACATTGAGCTCTTGGAGCGATGATGAATAGTTTACCGTTGTTATAATTATTTGTTACATTTTTGTTGTTGTTTGTTGTTGGATGATAATGAATTAACTTGAACCAGGAAACTCCCAAACGACTAAAAGTTTCAGGTTTTATCAAAAAGAGATAAAGCTCTCTTTTGTTTCTTTTTGAAAACCAGCTCAATCATCCCTTCGTCTTTTTGGATATGAGGAAACTTCTGGGCCTTCCTCATCAGTAATCTCTCTTATAACTGGTCCATAGTTAGCAGGCTGTCTATCCGAGTGCGATGGAGCTCTTAAACATTTGGAATATACAAGTTGCAGATTCTATGAACATACTCATCTTCCTCCGGTAATGTAATTATTGGGATTCTCTCAACACGTTCGCTCTCAGAGAAAGTTGGCTGACCATATCCGATGGATTGGAGTGGTTGACTGAGGTATGATAATTGTTAATGGTATATGACACGTGTACCAACCTGCGAGAACCACCCTGCTTCACTATCTTAGGTCTTTGAGATCGATATGAAAACTCCTTGTTAAAATCGTCAACATTCGCTACAGAAAAAATGCTTGAATACCATTATTTCAAACTTACATTCGTCTAAATTAATCAACTTTTGCTGCCTTCTAATTTTTCCATCTCTGTCTCTTTTTTTCTCCACAATGTGAGTTCGGTCTCCGATACTCTGCTGAACTGCAGTTTCTTCCCGTTCGCCATCACAATATCGTCTAAGCAATAATAGAGAAGGTAAAATCACGAATCGAATTACCGTCTTTCCTCTCTTGTATCACCATTAGATCTCATAGTTCGCTCAACTACTTGAGGTCTACCATATCCATCGAAAGTAGTAGTACTGGAGTGTGAGAAAACTTGGCAATTCGGATTGCGCATCATTTCATTGCTCATCATAGCCTGAAGATTTCAGAACACTTGAGAATATTTTTTTCATTTTCAAACCATAGGATCAAGCATTCCTCCTAAACCAAAACCACCAAACCTCTGTATATGTTGAGAAGGAATGAGAGGATTACCAGCTGGGAGAATCTAGATAGGCATTATATTGATTTTCCACATATGCAAAATTACTTGGTTAACTCCTTGTCTGCCGGGAGCAAGCATGAAAGGGTCCATCATATTTTCAAAAACTCTGTCCATTTCAAACATTTGTCTTTGCATGTGCCTTCAAAGAAGTCATGTTTGTAACATGGCTCAACAACATGTGATTACCTGAACATTCCAGCGAAGGGATCATTGCCACCGAACATCTTTCGCGTATTGATCGCAACTGAATCGTATAGACTGCAATAAAATAATTTTGAAATGACGCAGATACAGTGATTAATAGAAACAAAATACGAAATTACAACACTGGGAAGTATGTGGTCAGATATGCATGCGGTTATATAGAATGCACAAAGAAGCAACGAGTTCGCAATTTTTCTACCGTTTTCCGACAATCGCTTCGAGACCGGCCGTAGTAGATGTTGATACTGATGGCAGCAATCACAATTTTACTATCAAGTAGCTAACCAATATCATCGAGACGCAACAAACGTTTTTAGAATATGAAAATGGTACATTTCAGAAAAACAAAATGAGTGAAGATGGTGTGAAGCAACGGCATGATAAAAACAAAACTTGCGAAAATGGTAATCACGTGCTCTTTCTAACTTATTGAAATTAAACTTTCTGTTATTGCAGATAATAATGAGCAACACACCACTGAACAAGATGAAATGACGAAACCTTCCACAAGTGAAAAAATCACTGGAGTTTTCAGTAGATTTGTAGAAAGTTTCGAAGGCGCTCTTCAAAATGTGCTAGGTTTGGCTTAAGGTCAATCATGATAAGTTATTTTTGAATGATTTTTACAGAAACCAGCTCTGGTAGAAAAAAGCTGAATACCCTCTCAATAGAAGGAGTGGCTGAGTACATCAAATTGCATAAACCACAAAATATTATTGTTATGACTGGGGCAGGAATATCAACTTCTGCAGGAATCCCTGATTTTCGAAGTCCAGGTAGGCATGGCTTGAGAAATCAGTATCAACGAAACCTTTTTGATTATCTTAGAAGAAATCATCTAGAAACTGATACAATCGATCAAATGGTTCTTGATAATAAGATTCATTTTCGCAGTTGTCACTCTAAACAATTTTTGCTTATTTAGATACTGGGCTATATGATAATCTTCAAGAGTATAATTTATCCGATCCCATGGAAATTTTTTCACTTCCTTACTTCTTGAGAAATCCTGAACCTTTTTACTCTGTTGCGAGAAAAATGTTTCCAAAGGACATTAAGGTGATTAAAGATTATTAAAATAGAAATCTAACTAAGATGTCATCAGCCTACACCCACACATTATTTTGTCCAACTGCTAGCAAAAAAAAAGATCTTAAGAAGATGGTTCACACAGGTTGTTAGCGCTCTTTTTTAAAAATGAAAATCTTTTCTTTAAGAATATTGATGGGTTGGAGCATATGACAGGAGTAGCTGAAGATTTGATTGTGGAAGCACATGGTTCGCACAGAATAAGCACTTGCTTGAAATGTCGAAAGAAATATGATTTAAAATGGATCGAAGGTTTTTATTGCTAATAGGCAAAACGACTGAGCTTTCAAAAATAGACGAACTCGACAAGGAAGGTGTGAAGTATCCCAAATGTGTGCAATGTGAAGGGATTGTCAAACCTGATATTACTTTTTTCGGAGAGAACCTCCCTGGTCGATTCTTCAAATGTGCTATCAGCGTAAGCAGTTCCTCAACCTTCCATTCGAAATTACTCATTTAGGATTTTCCAAAATGTGATTTATTAATCATCATGGGAACATCACTAGTTGTACAACCCTTCGCTGGTTTGATTGGAGAAGTGAATTTTTACGACTATTATTACAAGAAAAAATTTATTTTATTAGGTAGCTGGTGACGTTCCTCGCTTGTTGATAAATTTGGAAGAAGCTGGACAGATAGGAAAAAGTGAAATGGCCTCTGAAGGCTTGTGCTATGGTCATAAAAGCAACACAAGGTGATGAGAATAATTTCTTATGGAGGTATTTTTTAAATATAGAGATGTGTTTCTGAAGAAGAAGTGCGATGATGGTGTAAAACATTTAGCTGAGCTTCTAGATTGGGAGTTAGAACTGGAAGCATTAATTCAGGAGGGTGAAGCCCGCCATGCCGCAAAGCTTAATTCGCAATAAAAACAAGCATGTGATATCGGAGTTCTTCAGCTTCGAACTTAATATTATAAATACTGCTTTTCGAAATTTTTTGATTTCTTGCCTCTCCAACACTCAGTCCTGTTGGTCATTTTCTAAAGCTCTGATTATTGCTAGCACCTTCTGTTCGAGCATAGATAAATCTGATAAAGTATTGAGATTAGGAACGGAAATTAACTTTCTCCATACTTTTCCTGGCGATTCTTTCACTTTTAGAGTTTTTGGGATAAGCAGACGAACTTGCTGATAAGGAATTGTTGCTTCTCTATGCTATTTTGCACAGGTAGCAGTAAAATCTATCACAAGATCCGAAATGGTATGAGGAAATGGTTGAGAATACGAAGAATACGCTAATTTGAGAAAATTATCAAAAAAATTTGTTTGGGAAGAAATTAGCTGCAAGTCGTCAACAGGAGGTTATCGGGAATTTTTGAATTTTGAAAACGTTTTCGCAGCTAATCAGGAATAACAGGTAAATGGAAGAAATGGTCAAATATTTCTCTCAAACAAAACTTGCTATTGTTGGAGCAAAACCAACAGCGACTCTTCTGAGAAAACTATGTTTCATCTTCCGATTCCTAAAAAATTTGGTACAATGATGACAACCCACTTGTACTTTGCATGAGTCAATCTCTCTTTCTTCGAGTAATTATTCAATCTATGCTCCCTTTCTAGCTGTAAGCTCTGCAAGTCACGGTTTCTTAATGAAGATCAACTTGAAACCTGCAAGAAATGCGACCACCCCGTTCACATGCTTCATAATTCTAGAGTTCAGATGACGCTGGCAAGCTTTCTCAACAAGCCTTAACTATGATATGTACTTGGTTTTGTAAGATAAGATAGCAGATCAGTCTATCAGAAAATGATTGTGGCGCCTTTCTCCTTGCATCAATGATCTTTCTCCATCTCATATCAGACTCGTCGCCGTGAAAAACGATAAGCAAACTGGGCGGAGCTTCTACACCCAACTATATGAAGTGGAGTCGCAGAATCTGAGAACTAACTGACCATCGCAGACGACTTCACTCTCATTTCCTGCGATTCAGAGTAAAATCTCGCTCTTATTATCAAATTCTTCAAAGTTGTCTGATATTTACATTAGCTGTACTCAAGTTATCTCCTCCACGCTCAATGTTCCACATCATCATTGGAAACTATGCAGATGAAACATCCGCTGCTGATATTCAACGACAACGGCGTATAGAAACTATGCGTGCCCGTTCTCAACGTCGTCGCCACTTCACCTTATGAGAATGGAAACTGTCAGTATACTATATTCTATTGAAGTGAGAGCCACTATCTATTTCTTCACATTCTTCACTTCGCACATCACAAGAAACTCGCACCTGCAATTTCATGTCTACGTGGTGCTTGCAACTATTGCAACCAATCAGGAAAAGGATTCCAACTGTAAAAAGTGTATATAACTTGTTTGTTCTGTTTTAAATTTGAGTTTGATGTACATATCTTGTATATAATTATAAATAGCTGACGCACATAATCTCGATCTCCAAACTTTCCCAAGTGACGCATTACCATAATTATAGTATTGCGTGGCCGATTTCAATTCCCAATATAGAATTTTACCGCTCTTTGTTAATTTATATCTTTTGAATAAAAAGATTTTAATAATATTTCAACTTAACACAAAGCAACATATCTTGCAGACTTCTTTAAATAGATACTTTACGAGAAGAAATCATCTCAGGGTCACAAGCTGTTATTAAAAAAGGCTGAAGATGCATGAAGCAGCTTTTACAGAAGTGAGAAACGTTAACGTCTGCAAATTTGAAACAGAGATATCCGTCTCTCTCTCATCACCTTCAGTCGTTCTCCGATGTTCGATATATGAGATCGTCGGTGCTGATGCAATATTTTTAGAGAATGATGGTTTAAATAGATTTTTGTATGACGAGGAAAGGCAAAGTACTCCAGGTTTGCCGAAAGTGCTTTGAAGAAGACACAATTCAGCAAGAAATTTCGAATGCATTAGTAGGATTATCGGCTCTGTCTGTTTCGCAGTACGATTTGTCTTGGAAAACGTTAGGACAGTCCAGTATGATATCAGTCAAACGGTTGATTCTCAACTTTCCCCCCGTTTCTTTTTCCTGTTCAGATGTGACTTGGAAATTTTGACAAAGGTAAACGGTCACTGCTAATTATGATTGTTAACGTTGATACACGACACAAAAGTCTACAGTAAAGAAGTACCAATAACTCTCGATGACATTACTATCGTTCACCACTCTCTCTTTCTACTGCTGTTCTCTTAATTTGTGTTGCTACCTGTAAATAAAGAAGTTGTTACTCGAATTAGCCAATATGCTTGGTTTCATACAAAATAAGACAAGAGACATCGGCTACTCCGGTGAACAAAAAACCTCGCAGTCATCTTCCGTCATGGTGAAAATAAGAGTTTCATGAGAGGAGATTCTCTTAAACTTTTTTCGTATCAAAACCAGCAGGTGGTTGTTGATACTCGCATAGTACGGATTAATGATGTCCTCGATTTGATTGTTCTTCAATCTGAATCCGCAAAACTATGTGATAGGGATTTGATCATGGAAGCGGATGAGCCAAAAAAGGCATTCAATATATCTTGGTAAATCTAACTCAGTATTTTACTTACAACTTATGAATTTTTTTATTACCCACACTGAAATGGTTCCAGATGGGCTACTCAGCTATACATGGAATGAGAGGTTGATTGGGATGCAGATTAAGATAGAAAAGGTTCCTCATACAATGAACAATCTTGGTCGACCGACATCTCTGGCATCGGATGAACGATGTGTATTATTCCGATCGCATTCATTCATGTAAAAATTTTGGTAAGCTTTGCTTAGTGCAACATGATTAAATTAATCATCGACTAAAGGAATTTATACCGCCGGAAGAAGATGTCGTTTCGAGTGAATAATCGCACCACGTAGAGTAGATGATCTCTGCGTTTTAAAAACAGCTTTTGTATGAACTCTGCTTGAAATTGGCTTGATGATTATATTTTTATGTTCATTTTGTATATTACTCATGCATCACTAGCAAATTTTATCCAAAATTGTTAGCGCACTATTCCGACCATTTTGACCATGGATTTGATGGGCTTTTTGGTAATTTTTGAAAATTGTTGAAAATGACACATTTACGGAAAGTTGAGACAGTTTTCGATTAAAAATAAGCCTTAAATGGCTTGAAAATGAGAAGAAAAGACGAAAAGGTGCGCTTGAACGGCAATTTATCCATTATTACTATCGTTTAGAGTTGTGGTCGAAATGACCTCTCAGCACCTGGTTGTGTTGGCTATTTTAGTTTGATTGACGAATTCGATGATTGTCGCTGTTTTACCAGACAACATGAACGAAAAAGATTTCTTTAGATTTCTCTCGGCTGCAGAAATCACTATTTTTGTTCATCTATTCAATCAAGCCCGACCACCACGTGCTTAGGTGTTAAAAAATGTTGCCCGTTCAAGATACATCAATATGATTTCAGATCATTGTTCTGTCCAAGTAGGAAAAAATAATTTTTGGTACCTTACCGATATGGTCCGACTATTAACTACTTTTTCAAGAATCGTTCAAGGATCCCTGTCGGAAATAACCTATCGATTCAGCCCCATCATGTTATGGTAACCTCGTCAACCATCAGATCAAAATGGAAGAAAAGAGAAAATGATTTGATAAAAAAAGAATTCAAATTGCAACATAGAAATGCCATAAAGATAGGTCACGCCAGAACTACAAGCCAAATCATGAAGCTTTGCAAGCAATCTTGTATGATGCAGGTTTATCTCATTCCCAGACAGACAAGAAGAAAAAGCAGGGTTGTCAGGTGACAAGACTATTTTTAATCACATAAACTAACTAGTAGCAGGTCTCAAGCAGTTACCACCTTTCTCTTAGCCGTATAAGAAAATTAATGTTGCTTGTCAATTTTAATGTGAATGACATTCAATTTCATTCCTTTCATTTTTCTCTGATTCTATTCTGTCTATTTGAGCTTTGCTTCCTGAAGTTGGCGAATATTAGAAGTCATTCCTAATTCGTCTAGTATGAGAGCGAGTCATTAACATACACTGTTTATAGTATGAGCATGTAGGAAATATTTTCATATTTCGAAACTTCGAAACATCAATTAAGCGATCAGCGATAAGCATCTAACTGTCAGCAGATCTCCAAAGTATGGACCTCGTGACTTTGCCGCAAAAACTATCATACTTAGCAAGCTAGAGCGGTTCTTTAACTTTAATTGTATGACATTCATTTGATAAACTAATTTAATTGCAGCTTAAAAATTAAGCCACGTGAAAACATTTATCTCTTCGTCCTGATATTTAATACAGCTAAGTCACTAATTTTTTTCAAATGTTATCGCTGTTAAATCACAACTGAACAGGAAGGAAGCTGGTTATTACAGTGTATTCATCAGAATAAGGGTGATTTAATCAGTTGAAATAACTTCTCATTTGTAGACTACTCAAATCTTCGTGTACAGACTACTTCGATTATGTCTAAGAAACTGTCATTTTATCGACTATCCATCAATCAATGCCCTGACACTTGTTCACGGTCTCTTTTTGCAAATCACATGACTGTACCTTCATTGGTTGGTCATTTAGGGAGAAAAGTGATAATCAACATTCTTAGGTTTAATGAGTTAGATAAAGGCTTCGAGAAATAGACTAGATAAGTTTATACTCGGATGAATCATAATGGAGATAAATATAACGTTAACAGTAAAAACTAGACACTCGTAATGAGTCATGAATGAAGAAAAAAGAAAAACACCGGAAACTATTGAAAACTCTATCAAGCACATACCTTGCACCAAGCACCTCCCCCCATCTCAATCTTTCTGGATCGCTCACAAAAACAAATTCCCTCATAAGTTTATTTGGCTCAATCACGCAGCTCTGAAAACTAGCGCTGAGAAGAATAAAAAGATATCTAACTCCCAAAATATATATAGCAATGAATATGTTCAACTCTGGTGGTCGGTCTGGATGAGGTGAAGTTAATACTCGGAACATGGTACTCTAACCCTTTTCAACTCGAAAAATTAATCAAGAATTTCATAATTATGTAAATCCCCGGAGCATGAACAGGAAAATTTCATAATTCAACGGGAGATTTCCGCCAAACTCACAACGGTTAGAGGATATTTGTTGGAGCGGTTGACATTTTTACGCGGACAGTTGAAGCATTTTTGGGTTACTGTAGCTCAGAGTCGTAGAGTGGCGTGAGATTAGTAATGGGAAGACGGGCGGTCGCTGCAAATATTCCTAAATTGCATGTTTTTTTTAATAATAAACCGAAATAGTACATCTTTTTGTTTTTAAAATACTTGGTTGGAAAATACATGATGAAGTTTACTTGGAGTTGATTTTCTACAATAAATGGTTTGCAAAAACCAGAGTTATAACTCAAAATTTCGTTTTGAGAATCTGCAACTAGATGTTTGATTTTCGTTTCCTTCGGTGAAATCTTGTCTTCTTTGACAATAATGAACTTCTAAATAACATATTGTCATCAGATTTATATAAATTGATTCAGTATTAGATCGCTGGGTATTATGTTGGCTCGTACTGTTTCCCGTTTCGCCACTGTTGCTCGCAGAGGATATGCTGCTGCTGCTGCTCAGAAGCAAGCTTCCGATGATCTTCTTCTTACCTTCGCTTCTCCTGATAGAGTATTTCTCGCTTTCTTTGGGCTTCATTTTCGTTTTTTTAGGCTATTTACAGTGGAGTAGCTGTCAAGCAAGTTGATGTTCCAACTCTTGCCGGAGTTGTTGGTGTTTTAGCTCATCACGTTCCAACCATCGGAGTGCTCAAGCCTGGAGTAGTTCAAGTTACTGAATTGGATGGTACGTTGTTATAATATTATACCTTTTACATTTCATTCTCTTGTGCTATTGTAGGATCCGTAAAGAAGGTCTTCGTTTCCTCTGGAACTCTCTCCATGAACATCGATGGAACATGCCAAGTTTTGGCTGAAGAAGTTGCTAACATTGACGAAATCGATGAGTCTGTATGTTGAATGTTTTATTTTCAAAATAAAACTCAATCACTTATTTCAAGGCTGCTCGCAGAGAGCTTGAAGAGGCTCAACGCTCAAGCAATGACGGAAGTGAAGTCGCCAAGGCTGAAGCCGCCATCAGAATCGAGGTACATTGTGTTTGAAATGTTTTTGCTTCATTGTTTCCTTGCAGGTTGCTGAAGCTCTTATTAAGGCCGCCACGGGACAACATTAAATTTCTTCAGTGTATTTCTTGTTTTGTAGATTTTGTAGGATAATTCCAACAAAATTTTATGTAATAGTGTTATAGCTTTTCATAAAGACGACGGATTTATGTGTTCTGGAACGTTTTCCAATGGGAGACAATCTTTTTTTGAAGAAAGATAACTAATGCACCAGGTTTGAGCGCATTAGTTGGGAAATTGGTAAATCCGGTTTATCAGGATTGATGAGGGGGGGGGGTTTCTTTTCACAACACCTGTGGGTTCTGGCCCGGATATGGATATGATTTTTTTCAATGTTTCACAAGTGGCTATAGTGTATTTACCCTAGTGAAGAGGACTAAGATCTCAAGCTCTTTAACTTTTTGTCCTCGACTTTTGACCAGTTTCGGCAATCCCGTTGTTGCTCTTCTGCAGTCCTCTAAAATATTTTTTTGTTTTCCCCAGCTCCATATACAATAAAAAGATAATCTTTCGACCATCTTCGGTCGCTCTGATTTTTTTGGCGAATGAGAATCGTCTAAACCCGCTATTGTTTTCCTTACATATAAGGGCAGTCGACATGTCAGGATCTGTGTCTCAAGTCCTTAAAAGGAATCGAAAGTCCTCATTACCTCGTCAGTTGCTACATTCACTTTCTTTTTTGATGTAGATTATGAATCTGGATATCTCGATAGCTCATGTAACTTAGATGTATATTTTGTATCAGATTCATGTTGAATTTTATAACTATGTCCTAAACTGACCATCTACAATTGGAAACTTTTTCGTTTGTTTTCGTTCGTTTCGTCTACATCATCCCTTATGCCCAGTCGAGTCCCCTAGCTACTTCAACTACCACTTCATTGGATTGACCAGTCGTATAATTTTCAGAGTTTACCATGCTGTGGAACGAAGCTGTTGTATTTTTAACATTTTCGGCTTTCTTCATTGACGCATCTCAAATTACAATACCCGACCCGGTACCTGGAGAGCTTTTAGATTTTCAAACAAACAATGAGCCAGCTTTCAACTGTCCGAGTGATATAGAGGCTGTCAGAAATTGCAAACCATGTGAGTCAATCTCAAAACCTATGTGATAGATTTGACTATGCGGACAACTCATAAAGTAAGATTTACAATTCAGATACGCTCTTCACTTATACTACCTGTTGTTTGGATGATGATACCAAATGTTGTTTCCATATGAAGGTAACTAAACTATATGTCCAGTATCCAGATAAATGTTTTTTCAAGGAATGGGTTTGGATAGCTGGAGGAGCATTAGTAGCATTAATTGGAGCAATCGCTTTAACATGCTTAGCGCGATGCATATTCCGATTCAGTAAGAGAGTTCTAGAAAAAGTTCTTATGATATCTTTAATTTCAGAAAATAAAAGTCAGCAGAGCTATGATTTTGCCTAACTCAGCACCAATCGTGAAGTTTTCATAATTTATCCTGTTCCCTTCGTCTTTGACACAATTTTTTCAAATGAAAGATTTGAGAGAATAATAATAATGTTGTTAGTTTTAAGAGAAACCTTATGAGATTGGACGATCGAAAGATCGCTCGATAATTTATTTTGAATCTTCCGTGAATGGAAAGACCATTGAAATGTGTGTTGTACAAGTACACTAGTATTCCATATAATTGTGATGATATTGTGACGATTGATTGTGATTGCTCCTCAAGCTTCACGTAGAGTGGACACCTTATATGTACTATTACAACTTGGTTGCTATGTTAATTTTTACTTTATTGCTTGAAAATTATGACTGTGTCGAGTGATATTTAATTACAATACAGTTTCAACTGCTTCTATGAAGTCTTATCTTGGGTATGTTGTATCGTGTTGGGACTTTTCGGCTTGCTGAATAACTTCTCCTTTGTTGTTTATAACAGCGTTCATTGTTGCCTGTAGTGCGAGGAAGAGACCGTGATCGATGAGGTTGTAACTTCGTTTGGTCATAATAAGCATATGGAAAACATGTTCGCCTAATATCGTAATGTGGCACTGGGTATTGACGGTATGTCTCATGTTTGTTACGCAGTTCTCTTAAACAAAATCAGAAATTGAAAAGCAAAGATTTTAAATCTGACCTTTTCACATCATATGTTATAGCTGTCGGTCTAGCAAACTTTCTATCGTATTCTCTTTTCTGTTCTTTACGTTGTTGGTTTCTTGATAATCGCTCATTGTCCATTTCTTTAACAACGGATAACGTGCGGTCGAAGCAGGAACACCAGTTCTATAAACATTATTTTTCTCACTTCTGTCTAATTTATACTTCCAGGCACAACCGTTCAACTGCATATACAGAAGAGAAATGAATACGCAAGCTGAACCCATGCTTAGAAACTGTATGACGATTACGTACAGGGCACATTCCTTCGACCCGGCAATATCGGTGAATCAAGATAGGTATTAGGAATAAAAGGGCAACCAACGTAATTCCTACTATCAGGGTGAACCAAATCCATCTGCAGAAATCACTTTGTTTATATATGACTAAATGACAAACAGGTCGTCGTAACTGTTGCGAATCTCTCCTGTCCATGTATTACGAAATGCCCATGGGTCCCTCGGATCATACACACTACGTTGGCCCATGATCTTCTACTGATGAACAAATGCTTATCATAGATTATATCTGAAAAGATTGAGGAAGTGCAAAAAACAATAAAACATTCCAAAATATCCATTTAATGGTGCTTAAGTCATAGCTGATTTGATGAATACGAAAGCAGTCAGTTGGGCTTAGCTGTCTCCAGAAGGGATTATCTCCTAGCAACCAATTACTGCATGATTATTATGCAGATACATTCTATTTACGGAAATCGCTGCTGAATGTCAGATGAATGTATAAACAATCGAAAACTGAAATGCACTACTGCTGTAGGTTTTTCTGTTCAAAGGGTACACAGGAACTGTTTTTTGCTCATTGTACAGGTTCAAAAACCTAGTTTCTTAATAAGACGATAAGCCGGCACTTATTTGGATACTATTTTCACACTTCGAAGTCTCAAGTAACTTTTATTTCTTATGTTATTGCGGGAATGAAAATACTTTCAAATTTTTGAAAGGGAAGAAGCTTTATTTAATGGCATTATATGATAAGCTTCTTATCATACAATCAATCATGTAATCAATCAATAGCTCAGACTTTTCAATCGTGCTGAGGCGATGTCTACCTCTGAACATCATCTTGAAAAATCCCACAAAGGGTTCGATTATATTCATAACTTTTTTCATTAACTTCTTTTGTTTAAGAACAATAATCATTGAAGAAGAGGATTGGGGTGACGACGTATCTGTCTTATCACGATATGACAAAGCCTCTGTAAGTGACATCCCTCGTTTTTAGTTGCATTCCACTCATTACGTGTAGGTAACGACTATAATCATCAAGATCGCTTTGGCTGTTGTATTCATTGGCGCTTGCACTGGAGCTCTTATTTATTCTATTATCACTTGTAAGATATCATTTATGGCTCTGACTCTGAATATTCAGCTGAGGAACAAGAGGGACCCGTTTATGAATTGAGTGATGAGTTTCCAATTCACTTGAATCAACAATGCAGCAATGGAAGCTTAAGAATGATATATCGTACAGGCGATGATCTCGGCCATGATTCTGGATATAAGGTGAGCTGACATTCATGACTAAATTTTTCAAAATTTTCAGAATTATACTTACACTATGAACTGGATGCAGGATAACGATAAGAAGAGAATTTATCATCGAGTAGGTTTGAATCCAAAGGACTGGCAATATTCTTATTACGTTTTTGAGAATATTACTTTTTTCCAAGTTTGTTTTTTCTCTTTCAAAACTCCATAACATGCTTCTTTAAGACAAAGAAAAGATGTGTTCAAATGCCTATTGGTTATTTTGAGTTTCTAGACGAGTAATCAACACCTTATCGTCTAAAAGTTTACTTCTTTATTTAAGCTTCGGATTGGAATATATAAGGAGAACAAAAATGGAAAAACTTCCCATAAACGATTATTATCGTGAAGTTGGAGTGTACGAAGGAGAACCTCCCAATGATACGAAAATCAATGGCATACATCCTGCCCTCATTAGAGGATTTGCTTCAGCCGATATACGTATGTAGGCTCGGAACATTTCGATAAAATTATGATTTTCAGCTATTGTCTATGGATGGGAATTGTTCTTTCCACGCTCTCCCAACATTACTTTGTTTCAGCAAGAATATTGGTTCCCAACAATGAGTGATAAGACACCGAATTACGATGTTTTCGAAATCCCTGATGAATGTTTAAAATAAGCCGTTCAGACAGCCTTCTCCCTCTATAGATTCTGTATATAAACTTCGATATTATTAATAAAACATATCACACGGATTTGAGATAATTTTCGGATTCAAAATTCGACCAAACAATCCCTTATGATGCGAACATCCTCATTATTCTGAACATTAGTAGAGATATAGTCAATCAAGTAATGAAAGGAAATGTGAGCTCTAAAACTGACAATTTTCATGTTCAAGGAAGAGCGCAAAACGGTTGGAATATTTTTCATTTCCCCATCGTTGAGGCTACCTTGAGTAACTACTCTCAGTTTAAATTATATTGTCAAAGCTTCCTATTATGCACTTATGAGTTGAGCTTCCCAACTTACTTTTTCAAGTACGAGCTGCTTGACGATTACAGAGCACGTATGCCGTTTACAGACTTGGAAGCGTAGGAAGTGCATACGTTTGATGCAATCTTAGCATTATAATTTCAATTTTTAATTTATTATAACAGTAATATTGATTGAATGATATTTGATTAAAACGTGCATGCGTAATAAGCAGTAACCTTTTAGCATATTTAGGGTAAGAATGGCTTCTCCAGATGCAGAGAGTGTAGTTCCCGGTTTTGAGCCAAAGTCGACGAATCCAGGTGACTTGATGCTGAAAATCTTCTTTAAAATGCTATGATATCAGGATCCTTCGACGAATTACACAGAAAAGCTAAAGATGTCTTTCCTACCTGCTTTGAAGGAGCCAAAGTTATGGTCCAAAAAGGGTTGAGCGCTCATTTCCAAGTATATCTTTTTACAAAACTTAAATTCGTTGACCTTCTATGTTTCAGGTTACACATACACTTTCCATTTCGGCTATGAATACGGGTTATCGTTTTGGAGCTACTTATGTTGGTCAAAATCAAGTCGGACCTCAAGAAGCATTCCCGATATTTTTGGGTGATACTGATGTAGCAGGAAATACTTCTGCCACCATCATTCATCAATTCGGTTTGTAGCTTCTGAATTATTCGGAATCATTATGAATTACTTTATAGCCCAAAAGTACAGAATGCGTTTGTTGGGACAAATCCAACAAGGCAAACTTGCTGGAGCTCAAGGCTCTTTTGAGAGAAGGTTAGTTTCGTTTATCTCCGTCTTGAATGAGTAATTTATTTAACTCTCTAGGGGACGTCTTTCCACACTTGGTCTTACCTTTGCAAATATTGATTTGGTTAACGAGAGTGGAATCCTTGTTGGCCAGTATTTACGCCGTTTAACTCAAAAGCTTGATTTAGGAGCTGAGTTAGTTTATCAGTATGGAAAGCAAGTTCCAGGTATTCAGTTAATCATATGTATGAGTGTTATCATTTATGTGTAGGATCTCAAATTACTGTTCTATCTTACGTTGGCCGATACACCACTGATTTCTGGACAGCAGCAGCCACTTTTGGAGTAACAGGTCTGTTAAAATTATATTTAATTTGCAAAAAGCGTTTCAACAGGAGCTCATTTGACATACTATCACAAGCAGAACGAAAATTTAGCTTTTGGAGTGGAATTCGAGTGTAATTCTAATGTTGGAGAGGTACTTTTTCTATTATGCATAAGTGATTTTAAAACTTCAATGTGTCAGGCTGTTACAACTTTGGCTTATCAGGCCGAACTTCCCGAGGAAGGAGTGACTATGCGATCCAGTATTGATACTAACTGGTTAGTGAAGCAGTGTGTTTTTGAGTCATCACTTTATTATAGGACTGTTAGCGGAGTGTTCGAGAAGAAGCTTAGTCGTCAACTACCCTTCACTCTTGCTTTATCTGGACTCTATAGTCATGTAAAGGCTGCCGGTAAATTCGGAGTTGGATTAATAATCGGTTAAAGTTGAGCCGTTTTGTTTATTTTACTTGTTTTTCTTTTTTTTTATCAATCTGATTTGATGATTGTTGTATGACATGCAAGATATTATCATGTTTATTAATTAATAGAAGTTGTTAGCTTAGTGGAACAATCTTTAAAAATCTAGTTGATTCTGGTAGTAATTCTCATAGATCTAGGCATCTTTGTATCCATTTGATCTGATGCTGTATTGTTATTTGTTTACTGTTATCAAATTACATAGCTAGCAACCGTTTAAGTAAATTTTTACAAATATTTTTCCCGATTCTGGCCACTAGGCGTGTAACGCTTCAAATATTTGGATGACGTGAGTATTTTGCATTTTTTTGATCTTTACTCTTTTCTGGAGAACATTTGCGGCCTACTCATTGACAGTATTTCAGAAATTTTGAGAATTTAAGAGTAGAAGATTAGCGAGCATATTAATCAATCCGTTAAAGCTTATTGCCTTCACTCAAGGCTTCTTTACTTTTGTCGGCTTATCCATTTAGTATTCCCATGAGAGTACATTCGCAATGCTCATGCTTCTTCACTTGTTATAACTTTGAGATATATATCACTCTAGTCTTCAGGAATAAGTCTTTGGAAGAACAATGGTTATTAAGTATACTTCCAACGTTGTGAGCCCTCCTGTACTACTTTATATGGGTGTTGACAAGCATGAAAATGAACATCTGATCAAAGTACAACAAAAACCAAAAAAAAAGAAGAAAATTTGTTTTGTTTCAGTATGGATGGCCTGAGGATGTCTGGTTCCACGTTGACAAGCTATCATCCGCTCACGTTTACGTGAGATTACCTGATGGAATGACGATCGATTCGATGCCTGAAGAGTTGGTATTCCTAAGAAACCATGTTTCGTTTTCTATTCTCTAATTTGAGGTGGAAGATTGTGCTCAGTTAGTTAAGGCCAACTCTATTGAAGGAAACAAGATCAATAATGTTGATGTTGTCTATACGATGTGGGGTAATCTGAAGAAAACAGGAGATATGGCCATAGGTCAGGTATGATAATGTTACTTTCCATTTTATTAGAAACCATTAGTATTAATCTTGACAATCGCTTGTATATATTATGATATTCAACTCTCGGTCAGTATTCAACGAAAACAATCTGAAGCTTCACGAACAGTGATGAAAACAATGCTAGAATGGCGTTATTTTGATGGGGCCAATGATAAGCTCACTGCTTAGTTTAATCGAATTTGCCGTCTTCACGTTTGCATTGCAGAATTAGAATAGAATAGAAGCTTCATTTGCCACGTAATGCATTTGAGGAACGGTTGTGCTTGCTACGCTATAGAGAAAATTAACCAGACTTTCATATTTTGAACCAATTTCCTATTGAGCTCGAGTAAAGGGATGTTGTATATTCAATTGAATGTTTTCTAGGGTTCAATGATTTCTAACCAATGTTTTGCAGGTTAGTTTTCATGTGCCTCGGAATGTGAAGAAGACCAAGGTGGAGAAGCGGAAGAACGAAATAATTAATCGTTTGAATAAGACTGAGAAGAAAGAGGAAATTGATTATAAGTACGCCGAGTACTTTTGCCGATTTAATTCTGTTGATTTCCAGAGCTGAAAGAGATGAGCGTGATGCTAAAGAGCGTCAAGCTCAAAGAAAGGCAGACCAACTCCGGAAAGAAAGGGAAAATAAAGAGGCTGCCGAACGAGAGAAAATTCGTAAAACCCGAAACTATGAGGATGTTGACTGGGAGAATACTTCTGCTAACCAAACGAACGACGACGGCAACTTATCGGACGACTTTATGTGAAGTGATTTGATATCTATCTGGGTCAACACAGCTTAACTTACGATTGATGTGCGCAATTCCTCATTTTGACCTTTGCGTACTATATGTGGTTTGGCGCGAGCACATGTTCAAATGATTTCTGTGCTCTTTGTTTGTGGTAGGCGGTCGCATTTCTTTGCCAATCGTTCTATTTTTTTTGTTTTTTTCTTTGGAGGGATGTGTATTCACGTTTCTTCTCATTCTTTTACTACATGTTCACAGCTGTGCTTGATGCTATGTTAGCTGTAATGTTTTTGAAGAAACGTGAACATATGTTTGTTGCTCTTCTTACGTTCCTTCTCCATTGTTGCAACTAATCATTTCCTTCAATCTGTCTGAGCGGATTTTTCGTGCAAAATTTCATTTGCTTTCTTACAGTCACTTGAATATTTCTATGAATTTTATGGTGTTCTTATTTATTTCCTATTTCTAAGTGGAACTTGAGTACTTTTTGCTGTTTTTTTACGTATCTTATCGACAGGCTTCAATCATCATTTATAGAGAGAAAGCGGCGATGAAACTACGGTCAAAGAATAAACGATCTGTTGAAAACTCGATTCAGTAAGTTTTTACTCCAGTTTCCTCTTTATTAGTTTTAACTTGCCCAATTAACAAGATTGACCTGCTGCTCCCTAGAGACCCCAAGTGGCATCAAAGCTTTAGAAGGCGCAAGAAAATGCCCATTCAGTATTATATCTGCCAATGATACATACAAATTCTCTGAAGATGTGTGCATGTGTATGTGTAAATGCTATGCGTCTCTCTCAGTTTCCCTCTTCATTCTGCTCTTACGCTCTGTGTGTCTGCCCTGCGAGTGTGTGTATGCCATTGCCAACCCGCTCCGCCTTTCTCCATCATAGTCGCTGACATTTTCTCTTTTTCATTTCTTCTACCAATTTTCCAATCTTCTATAATTTGCCAGAGTTTCAGTGTTTACGTCGTTAGCTCAAACGTTTTTTCCGTGGTGTGAAGATTAGTGAACTCTCGTTTGGTTTTCCAACAAGTTCTGCTCTCATTCTTTTTCATGTGTCAGCTGTGTCAGCAATTTTTGCTTACTGTTTCGTCAGTCATCCTTATGACAGCTTCTCTATCGCTTGCAGTTTCTTCTTTACTGTTCGTTATTCAAACTCTCCGTCTTTTTTTTTATTTTCTTATGCCGCTTGCAAACAAATTTTGTTGTTTTGCCCGTAGCTAAGCGCTCGATTCCCCGTGCTTTCAGAGAAAACGTTGTCATCGTTCAAAGAGCTGCAGGTTTTCTTGCGCAGTTAACAATCAAGTTGTCTGTTAACTTGACTTCCATGAAGAACCATTCATTTTCCTTATTTGTTCAGTCGTATGTCTGAATTTACACAGCCTTCTTGCTGCTACCAGTCCCAAATTATTTTGCTCTACACCAGTTGGCTGAGGTTCAATACCTCCCAAGTCACGTGTAAACCCTTTGGCTCAATTTCCTTTTTTGAACTGTAATTGCCTCGAACACTTTTCATTCTCTCTAACAGAATGTTATTATCTTTTTTTTTAACAAATTTCAATCGGCTAATATCTTTTGATCCACTACTGCACTGTTGTTGCTTTTTTCTGTTGGACTAGTTTCCTACTCCCAAGTTCTGGTGAGGCAGATTGAGGTTCATGTTCCGCGTAATCCCTGCGACTGAATCCGGTGTGTTACTTTCGTCTACCTGTTCTATGACATTTCCTTGCTGAATATGTCGGCATTGCTTTCGAAAAAGTCTGTATACAAGCAATCAACTTAAGTGGCTCATACTTCCTACTGATGTGAAGTCGCTCCTTCTAGTCATCCTTCGAAGCCTCTTGGGTACTATTTCTTTGCCCAACATTTTTAGTCTTTCACGTCCACTCATGTATTTCTACAGATGAAAATTGAAAGAAAACCATTTTCATACATGGTTTATGACTTTAACGAGTTGCTTAAGCTTTTTGAACGAAAGTACCATCTGAGGACATCTAATTAACCTCTGAAGTTTCATAACTCTCTCGTTTTCTCACATATTCCATATATGTGTTTATTCTCTCTTTTTATTATGTTCTGAACTTTATTCTGCAGCGTGTTCTCATTTCGTTTCCTCGAATGAAATACATGGTCGTTGCCGGATGTAAGCTTTCCTCTAAACTCCACTAACAATTTGTGAAAAAGCGTAACGGACAGATTATGAGAAAGAGTGTTAGAGTAGTTGAACACTTCAATCTCTTTTTCTCCCTGTTATATTTTGGGTTGTTTGCTCATGGATGAAGGGGAGAGGAACTTAGAATTTGTGAAAGCTCTCAATTCCCCATTGTTATTAGTAGAGGATACTCGTATATTCTTGGTATGCATGAATATGAACATATCACTCTTCCATATATGCAAAAAAAGACCAAAATAAGAACTTTCTCGGCTTTCTGGACATATGCTTCTCTGATTTATTGATCTCCGTACATGGGGTGAGAAGTAATATTTTCATACTAATCTGAACTTTTCTCGACATTCACCTAAATAAATGACGATTTTGAAATTCCCAATGTGAACGGTCTTTAATTGGTTTTATGCTGTCGCAAGTCTTGTGACTCTTGGTGTTTCTCCTCCGTGAAAAGAAAGAGAAACGGAGAGAGAAGTAACATCGATCAGTCAGATGCTTTTCTTGGCATGAGTCCATAGCCATAGATGTTGGAAACATTGTTGTTCGTTTTACGAAGAGACTATTTTTGCAGCTGACCCATTCCATGTCGAGTAACGAAACGGCAGTGACAAAAAGAGAAAAACAAGAAAAATCTTCATCATTCGCTTCTTGTTATCCTTTTTAAGTCTGCCACTTTTACAACATGGACTCTCCTCAATCAAACTATTCAATAGTTCCCACCCGACTCCTTCTCTCTCCTCTTTTGATATTTTTCACTAATGTATTCTGTTTTTTTCAACGAACGAAATCTTCTTTGTGTTTCTTTCATGGGAATGAATACAACTATTCACGTTTCAAACCGTCTTTGATCGTTGCAAACATATCAGTTTTCTTTATTCTCTGTCAATAGTGGTAAAGCTGAACCTGTTTTATCTGCGAGCAGTTTTGAAACACGTGAATTGCCCTGCTAGACCTCGTCAAAGCAATTTGTGCCCATACCCCTCCAATCCAAACAGAATTTTCCCTCTTCGGCTTATTAAGCTGCCTCTTTTCCCTTTTTCTCTCATTTTTCTCAATTTGAAACAACTTCCTTTTTTTTTACAATTGTTTTGCTTCTTTCCAGAAGAAGTCCACGACGCAGTAGAGGAATGGAATGGCTACGCGGCCGCGTTTTCGGTAGCCGTAATGATGATGAAGAACATCGGCAAAAGTTGGTCGAGCAAACCATAGCTGCTCAGAGCAGGGTACGCTTCTTTTTTCTTTTTCTTACTGACTATATTATTAACATCTTTTTGGATTTTCTGTCCTAATTATGTATTTTCTCTTGTGAATGGCGAGCGCGTAAATATACTTTTGAATATTGATGAACTGATTAATGGGAAGCAGAAGAATGGAACTTGATTTATTTCAAAAAATACCGAGTGAAAATGACTAAAAACATTCTGTTAGAGATTCTAATTTGTTCCTGCTCCATTGATGAGGGATAGAATTGTGGTGACTTTTTGTACTTTCCCATGTCATTCCTACGTTTTTTTCGCTTTTTATAATGGTGCAATTTTAATAGCGGGGAAAACATTAACTAGAAGCTGCATAGTAGACGTTCACGTTTCCAATCCTTCAACTTATTTCCTTGTTTTGATAGAATTCCATTTTGTTCTTTTTTCCCATTACGTTTCTCTGGAAAAAATAGAGTCTGCAATCATGGACAGACTTTATACCAGCTGTTTAATGTCTTTCAATGTTTGGTGTGATCGCCAAGGACGAAAGAAGAAGTGTCTTTGGCATCAGGATCTCTGTGTGAAAGGCTTCTATTCTTCTGCAGCTTGCTACTTCATGAGATTTTACTATCCTTTGAAAAAACCACCACTTCATAATTATATTTCTCATGATAACCCTAGTTGATCCAGTCTATTTTCATATTCTATTCTATGAAGGTTTCTGTCTTTTGACTGCATTTTCACCATTTCTTTCAAATGGATTTCTTTGTTTTTACTTAAGGGCATTTGAAGTTCTTCCATAGTGCTTTTGATCGAAAAGATGTTCTTTTGAATCATCTAGTTTGTTAATTATTTAATACATTGTTTTATCAAAGGACAAAATTCAATTTTCTAAATTTCCTACTCCCTTCTTCTTTGTTTTGAATTTTTTTGCATTTGACGCTGACTTCACTCTTTATGCTAATTTTTTTCGCCTGATGCCACGTATTTTTTCCGTTCAATGCGTTTTACCTCTCGTTATTCTGCCGTGCGGAGCATTGTGCGGTTGTTTTTTTCTGAGTTCCGGCACATCTTATCTTTTTCCTTGTTTTTTTCCTTTTTGTGCCTGTATTCTTTCACTGTAGTGGTTTAGCTGTTTTTTTTTGGTATCCGAATAGATTCCACTCTTGTGTGATCAGCTTTTCGAAAAACACAGCTTGAAAGTTCTTTTCAACTTATTGTCTTTCTGAAACTCACAGAATGTCTTCTCTACCTCCATGAGTTTCTGTTGAACAGCTGTCTAGTTATTAAAAGCTTGATTTTGCGAACATTCTCTGAATTTTTAAATCACATGGTAATGTAACCGTTTGTGGACTGGTGTTCATCATTGGGAATAATTAAGAAGCAAACCATTGACCTTCGCTTTCAATTTTGTAGGTGTCCACTTGAATAAGTATGCGTTATTTCTTTGTTCTAAAATGTTTTCCAACCTCTTAGTTATTACATTTTACGCTATTCTCTTCTATTCCCATATGCATAGCTGATATGTATAATTTCATATGAAAAATATATTCTTTTTTATGCAATTGGCCTAATCAAATCCTGTAGTACAACTGATATAAGACTAGAAGGACATGTTTGTATATAAGCTTGGCATATTTTTGATAAT